AGTTACACCAGGAACACACAATACCTCCATCAGTGCTCAGACTGTCCGCAATAGGCTGAGAGAGGCTGGACTGAGGGCTTGTAGGCCTGTTGTAAGGCAGGTCCTCACCAGACATCACCGACAACAACCCACCGTCGCTGGACCAGACAGAACTGGCAAAAAGTGCTCTTCATTGACGAGTCACGGTTTTGTCTCCCCAGGGGTGATGGTCGGATTCGCGTTTTTCGTTGAAGGAATGAGCGTTACAACGAGGCCTGTACTCTGGAGCAAGGAGATGCACTGCAGTACTTAATGCAGCTGGTGGCCACACCAGATACTGACTGTTACTTTTGATTTTGACCCCCCCTTTGTTCAGGGACACATTATTCAATTTCTGTTAGTCACATGTCTGTGGAACTTGTTTAGTTTATGTCTCAGTTGTTGAATCTTGTTATGTTCATACAAATATTTACACATGTTAAGTTTGCTGAAAATAAATGCAGTTGACAGTGAGATGACTTTTTTTTTTGCTGAGTTTAGGTAGGGTTAAAATGTCTAGGCATCAGGATAGATAATAAGCAGTAACAGCAGTGTATGTGATGAGTCAAAATAGTTAGTGCAAAGGGGGTCAATGCCGATAGTCTGGGATGACTTTGTCTCAGTTCATTACACACAGGATTGTATGATAACAACTTAATACAAACACACACACACACACACACACACACACACACACACACACACACACACACACACATCTAAACAAAGGTGCTCATAGACACCTCCACTTGCACCTGATACACACACCACACACCAGACGCATCCCATATACAGAGCCTATATCTGCAAGGACATCAGCTCTTTAGAGCTATCCTTTCTCCTTTCTCTGGCAGCGGTGTAGATAATGGGCTTTTACCTTCAGAAGCCAACACACACACACACACACACACACAAACACACACACAATATAACATGGATGGTGTGAAGAGAGGAGCAACATCCACACAGTTCAATCTGTTGGGAGGGGATTATCAACACTACATTACTTTACAATAGAAATAGTGGAAAGAACCTGTGGCATAATTTTCTCAAAACACAGGGATCAAATCAACTCAGCAGGCAGATGTAGATTTTTTCTCTCTCCAGATTTGTTTTTCTAATTTCAATAGGCAGCATATACAGTGCATGGATGTCTGAATTAATAACTATTCATCATGACACAGTAGATTCCGAAAGTTAAAGTTAAAAAAAATCTGCTTTGAAAAGATTTACGTCATCCTTTTGTGAGCAATACCCCAAAATGCCGGTCTGTGCCATTGCCATACTAGGGCGGGTTCAGCGGGTCGCCTCTAGGACCCAGCAGTGCAGCCGGTCAGGTAGGCACAGCTCGTAGACTAGAGAGAGGCAGACAAAGGCAGAGAGAGCTCGTGCCGCTATCCTGCAGCATCCACACCCACCCACCTCACTCCAAACGCTCCAGCGCGGGTGAGTACCCGATACTTTTTATATTTTGGTTAAACATAATTAAATGGCGACAAAAGAATATGTCAGTATTTAAGTTCTGTTTCTGACGGATAGTTAAGTTGTTGTGTTCAGGAGTATTGCACACTGTTGAGGATTGGTAGAATTTTAGGCTGTTTAGGCTGTCGGCTAAATGAGCAGGTGATTGTAGGTGTGCGCGTACCCGTTGGTACAAAACTGTCAGGGCTCATCTGTATGGACGGCGCCCACCGCTCTTCTCTGAGGTCATATGGACAACTGATGCGTTTTTTTTTGTTATTGAAAAATAGAGGGGGAACTGAAAAACTGTTTTATTTTTTTGAATATGACTTAAAACCAGCTCAGACTGGCTTAGTGTTACTAGATAAGACAGATCAGCTGTGATGAGGATGTTTGGGGTGACATCATTTGATGCAGTTCACTGACTGGCAGGTTGTTCTACGGGGGACTGTGGTGGTGGTGGTGGTGTCACAGACCCAGCCTCACATCTCTGTCGTGTAGTTACGCATGTCACAGCCACACAATAGAACAGCTTTGAAGTCTGTCTGCTGCGCTGTGAGCAGGAATTAGGAGCCTGCCCTGGTTAGCTAAGCATGGTGAGAGCATTGTATTATTTTTACACATTCATTTATTTGTGATATTCAGGGTTTGAATTACATATTAACTGTTGGGGTGCGGTATGACTAGTGGTCTGGACCTTATGGGGATGGCCATTTTAAATATTGAAATACTTAGGGGCCCCTCCCATAATTTGAGCCCTGATGATGGTAATGCACTGTGGTGAATCATTAGTCTAGTAATAATACTATTATTTGTAGTTGTATCCGTGTGTGGAGTAGTGTAGCACTTCAGTAGTAGTAGTGATGGGGGTGTCCCTGTGGGGGTGTCCCTGTGGGGGTGTCCCTGTGGGGGTGTCCCTGTGAGACAATGGGCTGTCCTGAGCATAGACCGTATATAGTCCTGAGTGACGTCATAGGGAGAGGGTCAGTCATTTACCTCTGTCCATTATTTTAGACGAGCAGATGGGCTGGGAGCCCGGCCCCTTTCTGTCAGGAGGAGTACCACTACCCATAACCCATCCCTCCCTGGTCTGGGACCTACCCCCATCCCCATCTCAGGACCTATCATGAAACCTCAGCCAGACTCAGCCAGGGTGTGCGGGGGAGGGGAGGTCCCAGCCACATTCAGGGTGGGGACAATGTGGTCCTCTCTGTTTGTCTTCATGGAGGAGGACACGTGATGGGGCTGTGGAGAGATAAGGGGAGGAGGACATATCAATCATAATCAGTATTTCACCGTTAAAAGCAGTGAGTTTCATGACCTTTGGCATTGGGGCGTTGCCAGGAACACAATCACTGTTTAAGCAGAAATGGATTAACAAGCCCCTGTTAAGTCATGGAGTCTACATTTGGTTGCTAGCGCCCAGCAGCTGAGCCATGTGTGGACATTGTATGTGGAGCGAGAGTGCGGGTGATAGCAGGGGTGTTGAGGGGTTAGGCTGCATGTCTTTATCTGAAGCCATCGAGGTGTGGTCACTGGTCATAGCCACTAGGTGAGGATTTGACAGGAAGTGGCAAGGCTTTAATTGGTAAAGCTGCTCCAATCCTTGGCCCAGCCCTGGACTGGTCTGTCTGTCTGTCTGCCTGTCTGGCACAGATCAGAGCTTTAAATGTCACAGATAGCAGCCTCTAGTCTACACACCATCACTAGCGGCAGGTTGATGTTTATTGGGATGAGTCTTGTCCTGGAGGCAGAACTGAGCAATTACCTCTAGATGGGCCAGCAGCAAAGTAAATATGGTCTATATTGTAAAAATTAATAAAAACAAAAATGTGCTTTTTGTCTTAATTTAAGGTTAGTGTTAGGCATTAGGGTTAGCAGTGTGGTTAAGGTTAGGTTTAAAATCAGATTTGATGACTTTGTGGCTGTGCCAGCTAGTGACCACTCTGCAGAGCTGCCTCCGGAACAAGATTCATGACGAAAAATGCTAACTTGCCCAATAATTTATGGCCAAGATGGACTGAACGTGTTGACATAACAATGTGTGCCAAAGCCCTTTTATTGCTAGTTAAAGCTGTTTTTCCAGTCCATTAATGTGTGATTAAGCTTTGTGTTGATCAGTGGTCAGATGTATAAACTAATCTCATCTCCCTCCCCACATGTGGGTCTGTTTTTGTACGAAGTGGAAACTGTTGGGTAGGGGCATGGTGAACAGGGGCTGTTACAGTGCTACTCTCAGGAGGTGGCAGTTTATTTTAGATCGGGGATTTCAGTCCTACTGATAATCAAACTGACAAGCCCAGATCTAACACCTAGAAATCCAATAATTGTCCTGAGCACTGGGTTTATGTGCTATTTAAAAGTTTATTTAACCACATGGTGCATCGAGGTGTATTATAGAGTTACCTTAGAATGTGACATCGTTACACACGTTTCTCACTCAAGACTCACTCTGTATCAAATGAATTACTGAATTATTGATCATCTACATATGATGATTGATTATTGATCAATCAATGTTCATAAATAGTCTTAAGAATCTATTTGTGGAGTTCATTGTACGTGATAATATTGTGTATCAGAGTGAGGCAGGCAGCAGCAGCTCTGTAATAGTGTCAGTCAGTTAGTCACCAGTGAATCAGAGCTGTGATTCTCCCCCTCTAATCCTTTTCTTAAACACAGGCCTGGTTTTGCTACATTTCCCCAGAGTGCAGCACCTCCAGCCTTGTTCTAATACTAACACTGCATTAAGAATTTAGCAGACAAATCTCATTCTCAACAGGATATCAAAGAGCCCCGGGGGGCTCACAACAAGAACATTATATTGTTGCAGGGTGGGTTGGGGGTATAGTTAAGGCCACATAAAAAGGGCTTGTCCTGGGATGTCATCAGGCAGAGGGATGTGGTGTTAGTAGGAGGTGAGATGGAAGGATGGAGGGGGTGCTGTTATGTTTTTTAGTCCACTCCAGGAAGGGGATGTGGTCTCTGTGGGGATCCAGAGCACCCCCTCCGTCCCTCCACAGGAGGTCAGACTGTCATAAATGACAGGATATCTTGGGAGTCGGGGGGGGCGGGGCGACATTGACAAATGCTTTGTTTGTGAACAATGGGCCTGAGCGTATTGACTAGTGGTTATTGATCAGAGTTGTATAGAAGAGGCCTTTTTGGGCAATTGAGCGAGAGTGGCTATTGATCATGGTTGAAAGATATAGGAAAATCGTAGGCCTGGAGCTAGACGAGCACCCATATTGTCCCTAGAGTAGTGATGTTGTTTTACTTGATAGTTACTGTACTTTGATAGAAGTTGAAAGATAAAAAGATGGCATACCTTGTGACTTGGATTGTAAAATAAAAAGCCACTAGTTCCTGTTATCTGCTGTGTGTCTTTTACAGAGCCTGATAAGCATGGCTACAAATGCAGCCAGACAGCCCAGACTTGGGTGTCAGCACATTCTAGGCAGGTGTAGATGAGGTTTGTCCTACTGCAGCTAACCTCATTCACAGGTCTTGTACAGTAAAATATGGCTGCTGTGCCTGTGCTCTGCCACGTGGAGACTGCTGCAGCTGTAGTGCGGTGAGTCTTTGTCCTGACATGGAGCAGCTAGCATACAGCTCTACTGTGCGGTCATCATAACTGCACGTTTTCCATCTCGTACAGAGGAATTCTATTCATTTTGATTAGATCACACAGAGATGGCTAATGAGATTCATTAGAAAGGGGGTTTTGTGTGTCGTTGTAGCGACGCAACCTGCCCCACTGGAGTAGAACGACTCTGCCGTGTTTCTTTGTCTGCTCTGCAGTCGGCTAGTTTCACTGAAACGCTAGTTCCACTCCTGAATGCCCGGAATCGAAACGTTAGTCGGAGCAAACAGACAGACTGCCAGTCTGACCAGGGCAGGGCAGGGCAGGAGTCCCAGCATGCTCCAGGGCATGGCATTGCAACGATGACCTTCACTGTGCCCTCTGTCCTCCTATGGCGGGGACTTTGTTATGACTGGTGTGAGTTGTGAGACGTGGCAGAGAGGGTGACTGCTGCTGGGTGCCCGTTCAGAGTGGCACTGTAATGAGTGCTCTCTGCCCGTTTAGTGGCTAATCTCTTCATTATTCAAAACTGTCTATTGCAAAGTTCCAGTCCGAACTGGGTAGGTAGCAACACTCGCTGGCCGCATTCATCAGTCAGCCAGTCAGTCCCAGCCAGTCAGTCAGTCCCATCAGCCAGCCAGTCAGTCTCAGTCAGCCAGTCAGCCAGTCAGCCATTCAGTCAGCCAGTCAGTCAGTCAGCCATCAGTCAGCCAGTCATTCAGCAGTCAAGCACCAGTCCGCCAGTCAGTCGCCAGCGTCAGTCAGCCAGTCCGTCAGCCAGTCAGCCAGTCAGCCAGTCCACCAGTCAGCCAGTCGTCAGTCCGCCAGTCGTCCAAGCAGTCGCAGCCAGTCATCAGCCTCACCAGCCAGTCAGTCAGCCGTCAGTCAGCCAGTCCCTCCACCATGCTTTCTTTTCTTCTGTCTTTTTGAAAAGGGGATAAACCGGTCTGCTTGCGTTTAAAAAGAGCAGCTGTTAGTAGAGAGTTTTGGCACGAGCACGCTGAGCTCTCTACCCCTCGCAGCATCTACAGAGAGATCTGGACTACCCTGAAAGAGACCATTCCTACTGGGCTGCTCAGGCCTTTACACACGCTATGTTATCTGCCAAAAGACACCCAATAGAAAACCCTTAAAAAAATACAGTGAATCGTTTTTTTACCCACAAACTTTGTTCTTTCTTTCAGAGTCTTTGTATGCTATAATGTTTTAGACAGGCTTCAATTGTACATTGGATTATGTAAACTTGTGGGTGGATCACCCCATGTACCTTTCCCAGTGATGTAGAGGATGAGTAACCACTGACAAGTGTGAATATAACCTCACATATGCTGCTCAGCACCACACATAGAGTGACTGTGATACCATGTACTTTACATCAGTGACTAACGCTCCAAATGTTCAGCTCAGCTCTCTGGTCCAAGAGCCCTTTATGGGATGATGATGCTACGGTAGATACAGGTCCTTCCCTGCTGCCTGCTCATAGCTCGGACTCAGATGTGTGGGATGATCCTCTGATTCAGATGGCCCTAGCTTATTTCTGCCATATCTGTTCTTTAAAACGACCAAGGTGGTGAAACATTTTTGTTAGCCTTTTCATGTAAGATATATGGTACTTGCAAATGCACATCCCAAACATTAGTATGGTGCCATGGTTAAAAGGCAATGGGGAACTGTACAGAGATCAGATACAGAAACCAGAATCACATTTCTTTACCTGGAGGCAGCTCTGCAGAGTGGTCACTAGCTGTCACAGCCACAAAGTCATAAAATCTGACTTTAAACATAACCGTAACCTTAACCCTAACCACACTGCTAACCCTAATGCCTAACCCTAACCTTAAATGAATACCAAAAAGCTATAAAAAAAATAAAAAAAATAATAAAATAGCCAATTATGACTTTGCAGCTGGCCCATCTAGCATAAATCGCTAATTTCTGCCTCCAGGGCAAGATTCATGACAATAAACGTCAACCTGTGTACATATCCTGGAGCCAGAGGGAAAGTGTCTCGTTTCCCATTCTGTTAAAACACCCTGGTCAGATCAGCAGCTCTCTCTGATGAGAAATTATTCTCCAAAATATCACACATCCACTGGGCCTTCTTAATAATAGTCCCTTACTGGCCTCTCTCAAGGGCACGGGCTGAATGTAGGGTAGATGACAGAACACAGACAGACGTACAGGCGGAGCAGCCTCCGCTCTACAGGAGACATGTGCAACCGTTCTAAATGTTTAGCCCATTTAGTACATACCATTTAGTATGTAGTGTATGTTCATAACTAATGGCCTTAGTTTTAGGGTCACTGAAGGGTTGTAAGGCCTACATAGGACATGTACTACTGAGTATACAGCAGAGTGATTCTGTTCACCTGACATTAAATATTGATTCCCTGTTCGCTCGGGAACATCCTACATGAGGCTTGTGTTTCTGTTGCACCGTTCTCCAGTTTCTTTCAGTCTCTTAACACACACTTACATACACACTCACACACACAGAGGGGCGGGGGGTTAACACACTCTCTGTGAGTGGGTGGGCTAATCGATAGTGAGGGCTGTAATTGATTGGGCTGGCCCGGCCTCTCTTCATCTTGCAGAAACCAAACACCCTCTGGAGAGACAGGACAGGGGAGGCCTGGCTCAGTTTACTGCATGTGAACCCCAGCACACCTGTGGTGCATGGTACACTACTGTATTAGAGGGATGGAGATGGAAAGTGAAACCCACTGCAGGGGAATTTTACAGTAGCTAGATGGTGGAATGTTGATGGATGTAGTTACCACTTTGGTACTCTGTTATTGAAAAGTCCTTTTTAGATGTTCATGCCTGAACTAAAATATCTTTTACCAAGTCCCCTTAGTTCTATACTGAATGATCATCATTATAACTCATAGTGTTATGTTTTTCCAATGCCAGACTTCCCAGAGCTCACCACAACCAGCACCTATCTACCACGGACCCTCCCTGACCTCTGTCACCATGGAGCTGGACTTCGGCCATTTTGACGAGCGCGACAAGCCCCGTACCCCACGGGGCGGGCGCATGAATGGGTTGCCCAGCCCCACCCACAGCGCCCACTGCAGCTTCTACCGCACGCGCACCCTGCAGGCCCTCACCAACGAGAAGAAGGCCAAGAAGGTGCGCTTCTACCGCAACGGAGACCGCTACTTCAAGGGCATCGTGTACGCCGTGGCAGTTGACCGCTTCCGCACCTTCGACGCCCTCCTGGCCGACCTGACGCGCTCCCTCTCCGACCACATCAACCTGCCCCAGGGGGTCCGCTTCATCTTCTCCATCGACGGAACACGCAAGATCACCACCATGGACGAGCTGGAGGAAGGTGAGCTCACAGAGGGTTGGGTGGTAGGGAATGTGGGGGTCATTATGGAGGAAGGTGAGCTCACAGGGGGTTGGGTGGTAGGGGGTGGGGGTCATTATGGAGGAAGGTGAGCTCACAGGGGGTTGGGTGGTAGGGGGTGGGGGTCATTATGGAGGACGTTGAGCTCACAGGGGGGTTGGGTGGTAGGGGGTGGGGGTCATTATGGAGGAAGGTGAGCTCACAGGGGGGTTGGGTGGTAGGGAGTGGGGGTCATTATGGAGGAAGGTGAGCTAAAGGGGGGTTGGGTGGTAGGGAGTGGGGGTCATTATGGAGGAAGGTGAGCTAAAGGGGGGTTGGGTGGTAGGGGGTGGGGGTCATTATGGAGGAAGGTGAGCTCACAGGGGGTTGGGTGGTAGGGGGTGGGGGTCATTATGGAGGACGTTGAGCTCACAGGGGGGTTGGGTGGTAGGGGGTGGGGGTCATTATGGAGGAAGGTGAGCTAAAGGGGGGTTGGGTGGTAGGGAGTGGGGGTCATTATGGAGGAAGGTGAGCTAAAGGGGGGGTTGGGTGGTAGGGAGTGGGGGTCATTATGGAGGAAGGTGAGCTAAAGGGGGGTTGGGTGGTAGGGAGTGGGGGTCATTATGGAGGAAGGTGAGCTAAAGGGGGGTTGGGTGGTAGGGAGTGGGGGTCATTATGGAGGAAGGTGAGCTAAAGGGGGGTTGGGTGGTAGGGAGTGGGGGTCATTATGGAGGAAGGTGAGCTAAAGGGGGGTTGGGTGGTAGGGAGTGGGGGTCATTATGGAGGAAGGTTAGCTAAAGGGGGGTTGGGTGGTAGGGAGTGGGGGTCATTATTGAGGAAGGTGAGCTAAAGGGGGGTTGAGTGCTAGGGAGTGGGGGTCATTATGGAGGAAGGTGAGCTAAAGGGGGGTTGGGTGGTAGGGAGTAGGGCTGTAGGGCTGTGTCAGTAAATTTTGCCAACCGGTTATTGTCATATGCTAGATTTAGAGTTATTTGGCAGCTTTAGTTGTGAATGATACAAACCATAAAATGTCTTAGAAATCAAAACATATATGGGCTGCATGATGTGACTAAATGCTATTGATGATTTGAGAAAGTCGCAAAAAAAAGTTTGCGCTCTATTCCTTGCCTCAGGCTGCACATGCTGTGTGTTCGCTCATCAAATTATCATATTTTCACCCATCAGACTATTCTCAATTGAATCTTGTCTTTACTAATATGTAAAATTTGTCTCGATTTAGAATGGCCCATTTATCAAATGGGCAAGAACAGGAGCAAGACAAAAAAGATGTCTGGAATAGCGAATGGAGGCCACTTTCCCGGCAGTACGTTTTTCAGTCATGTCGGGTAGGCTACTCCGGTAATTTCGCTGCAGGACAGGTGATATTCCACCCAAACTGTGTATGCCATGGGCTCTCCAACCCTGTTCCTGCAGCTACCCAGTGCTTAATTTGGGAAACCAAGTGAAATCTGTTCGGCAACCTTGATAGTAACGTTTTCACAATGAAACATATTTCATTAAACAGTTGACAGCTGGAGAAAGAAATGAAGGAGAGAGAGGAGATGGAAACGCATGGTGGTGAGATATTCTATATAGCTAAAGGTAATGTGCCATCCAATTAATTATGAAAATGTAAAAAATGCCCTATTACTAGGCTATTCAAAATCAAATACAAAATGCACTATAAATGTAGGCCAAATCTGAATTTGTTTAATATAGGCTAGACCAATTATGTACCAAAGATATCTTAAATCAGTATTGTTTTATGTGTTTCTGCCGTGTGTAATATGTGGTAGGCTATGTATTGTATAATGGCACAATCAACAAAAAAAATTGGTCTTGGGCTCATATACAGTATACAGAGTGGGGGTCATTATGGAGAAAGGTGAGCTCACAGTGAGGTTGGGTGGTAGGTAGTGGGGGTCATTACTTTAGCGTTATTACAGGTTTATAGACATTTTTGGAAGTGTTTGTGCATAGTTTCCTCTTTAAGTGAACCTTATCATTCTAAGGTCTGTTAAAACCTCTTAAGGATCGTACCCATTTTTTCAATTTTCACCTAAAATGACATACCCATATCTAACTGCCTGTAGCTCAGTACCTGAAGCAAGGATATGCATATTATTGGTACCATTTGAAAGGAAGCACTTTGAAGTTTGTGGAAATGTGAAATTAATTTAGGAGAATATAACACATTAGATTTGGTAAAATATAATACAGAGACATCAGGGGGTCAAACTGTGGAACCCAGTTTCTACATTTGAATATAAAAATGGATTTTATCAAACAAAAATATGCTACATTTTATCTCTGGGACCTTCAGGATGACAAATCAGAGCAAGATTACTGAATGTAAGTACATTATTTACCGTCAGAGGTGAATGTGTGAAACCAGTTGCCGAGACAAAAGTGTTTTGTTTGTCATTCTATTCACAAATCCCATATTGTGCAGCAACCGTCCCGGTATAGGGACACCGATCTCGTAGAGGTTAATGTGATCTAGTCTGGCTGGTCGCAACCGTCCCGGTATAGGGACACCCATCCCATAGAGGTTAATGTGATCTAGTCTGGCTGGTCTAGCCGGCTGTAATCTCTGCATATTAGATATGATAATCTGATGGTTTACAGGGCGATGGTGCAGTGGAATAGTGTGCTATGTTAGTTTACACAGTGTCCTCCAGAGACTCTGCCACTCTGCTAAACGCTGGTAGTTAGTGAGCAGCAGAAGTACAGTCACTTCAGTCATGCTGTTAAATCTCAATAATTCATTACCAGTGATTCACTCAGCGCCTCAGGAGCCACAGAGCAGCAGTCTCAGTATGTCTGGAGCAGACTTATGATAGCATCAGAACATCATCTAGACCAGAGGTTATTAAACTTTTTCAGCTCGAGACCCATGTGAGAAATGTACTGTCCTCAAACGACCCAAATGAAGTAGAAATAGTCTGTGAAAATAAATGTTTACTCAAAACTCGCGACCCACCGCTCACATGCCCAGGGCCCACTTTGCGTCCCAACCCATAGTTTAGGAAACCCTGATCTAGACTAACTCTCCTAATATGAGGAGCTGGTTTACCACCTTACCACCACTTTACCACCACTTTACCACCACTCTCCCTCAACGTGATCAAGACAAAGGAGATGATTGTGGACTACAGGAAAAAAAAAGAGGACTGAGCACGCCCCCATTCTCATCGACGGGGCTGTAGTGGAACAGGTTGAGAGCTTCAAGTTCCTTGGTGTCCACATCACCAACTATCATGGTCCAAACACACCAAGACAGTCGTGAAGAGGGCTCGACAAAGCCTATTCCCCCTCAGGAGACTGAAAAGATTTGGCATGGGTCCTCAGATCCTCAAAAAGTTATACAGCTGCACCATCGAAAGCATCCTGACTGGATGCATCACCGCCTGGTATGGCAACTGCTCGGCCTCCGACTGCAAGGCACTACAGAGGGTAGTACGTACGGCCCAGTACATCACTGATGCCAAGCTTCCTGCCATCCAGGACCTCTATACCAGGTGGTGTCAGAGGAAGGCCCTAAAAATGGTCAAAGACTCCAGCCACCATAGTCATAGACTGTTCTCTCTGCTACCGCACAGCAAGCGGTACCGGAGCGCCAAGTCTAGGTCCAAAAGGCTTCTTAATAGCTTCTACCCCCAAGCCATAAGACTCCTGAACAGCTAATCATGGCTACCCAGACTTTCACTGTAAGTAAACAGACTTTCACCTGTTGTATTCGGCGCATGTGGCAAATAACATTTGATTTGACTTTACCACCACTTTACCACCACTTTACTACCACTTTACTACCACTTTACCACCACTTTACTACCACTTTACCACCACTTTACTACCACTTTACCACCACTTTACCACCACTTTACCACCACTGTTCCACCACTTTACCACCACTTTACCACCACTGTTCCACTGTCAGTGTCCACCACTTTACTGATTGCTTTAGTGCTCCTTGGGTCTTTTTGAAGGTTGATGGATTGTGATAATGATGCATACTACTGTCATCATGATCATCATAGTCAGTAGGTTGGACACGGATAGTGAAACAGTTTTCACATGTATGATTTCTTCCTCCTCTCATTGATATGCATGGGGTAGTAGTCTGCTGCTCTCGTTGTGTGAAACCCTACACTGTTATTAGAGATTCTCACAGAGGCTTTTATCCAGCCAGTGACTCTCACTGGAATGTACACGTGGAATTCTCCCCTCAGAAGTGGAGAGAGAGAGCATTGCAATGAGAGTGCTTGGCAGGATCCAAAGCCGTAATAGCTGCGTCTGCATCCAGGAATTAGAAAATGGTTCCTAAACGGAGCCTGTTGTCCCAGTGGAACCATCCATCCATCTGCCTGGAGGCTGGAGCACAGGCAGCATTCTGTTTGATGAGCAGACAGACGGGGTCTCAGCACCTCTCTTTGGCGTGATGTAATGTAACGTCTCCTCCTCTCATTAGTGGGACTCCTCCACCTTTGATGTGATCGCTGAGTCTCAGACTCTTCATAATTAACCGTACAGGAGTCTTCCAGCCAGCTCAGCCAATCTCCCTGAAGCAGAATATCATGAAGACTGCTGGATGCTCTACACACTGCCCTATCTCTCCTGGACAAGAGGAACACCTATGTGAGAATGCTGTTCATCGACTACAGCTCAGCATTCAACATAATAGTCCCCTCCAAGCTTGACACTGCTCAAGGCCCTGGGTATGAGCACCTCCCTCTGTAACTGGATCCTGGACTGCCTGACAGCAGACCCCAGGTGGTGAGGGTAGTCAATAACACCTCAGCCACGGTGGCCATTAACACGGGGGGCCTCCCAGGGGTGCATGCTCAGCCCCCTCCTGTACTCCCTGTACATCTCTTACTCTGTTATATTAATACCCCCCTCAACAGCAGGAGTGTCTGTTATTCCTTCTTATGGTTGCAACAGGACGTTATATTAGTGGGAACTTTCAAAGTTTACCAGTAAACTAACAGAATTTTGGTAACTTTCAAGGTTTGTTTGGAATTTTATCAGATGACATCTAGTGGCATTTTTGGGTACTTCAGATTGTCACACAAGTCTGTAATGATCTCTGTCCCTCTGTGTGGCATTGTCACATGTAAAATATCTAAAATAATCAAACAAGATGATACAAAAAACATTCTCCTAAATATAAATCATCAACTCTGTGATTACCATTGGTGTTTAATATTATTTGTAATTTCATTTTTATTTTAGTCATTTAGCAGATGCTCTTATCCAGAGCGACTCACGGGAGCAATGCCTTGCTCAAGGGCGAAGGTTTCAGCATGAAATATCCTTTTATATATATATATTTGTACACACTTATTTATTTGTCTATGTCAGTATGACTTTGTTGTAAATGTTTTGGCGCCAAACTGGTGGCAGTTGTGAAAAAAGTCAATAGTTGAAAGAGTTGCAGAGTTAATTGAAAAAATGCCTTTGTTGATTAGATAATTTTTTCATTAATTAGGCTATTTTCTCTTGAACCATATGATCTATCCACTAGAAACTCATGGACAATAGGGACACATATATATACAGTGGGGAGAACAAGTATTTGATACACTGCCGATTTTGCAGGTTTTCCTACTTACAAAGCATGTAGAGGTCTGTCATTTTTATCATAGGTACACTTCAACTGTGAGAGACATAATCTAAAACAAAAATCCAGAAAATCACATTGTATGATTTTTAAGTAATTAATTTGCATTTTATTGCATTTTATTGCATGACATAAGTATTTGATCACCTACCAACCAGTAAGAATTCCAGCTCTCACAGACCTGTTAGTTTTTCTTTAAGAAGCACTCCTGTTCTCCACTCATTACCTGTATTAACTGCACCTGTTTGAACTCGTTACCTGTATAAAAGACACCTGTCCACACACTCAATCAAACAGACTCCAACCTCTCCACAATGGCCAAGACCAGAGAGCTGTGTAAGGACATCAGGGATAAAATTGTAGACCTGCACAAGGCTGGGATGGGCTACAGGACAATAGGCAAGCAGCTTGGTGAGAAGGCAACAACTGTTGGCGCAATTATTAGAAAATGGAAGAAGTTCAAGATGACGGTCAATCACCCTTGGTCTGGGGCTCCATGCAAGATCTCACCTCGTGGGGCATCAATGATCATGAGGAAGGTGAGGGATCAGCCCAGAACTACACGGCAGGACCTGGTCAATGACCTGAAGAGAGCTGGGACCACAGTCTCAAAGAAAACCATTAGTAACACACTACGCCGTCATGGATTAAAATCCTGCAGCGCACGCAAGGTCCCCCTGCTCAAGCCAGCGTATGTCCAGGCCCGTCTGAAGTTTGCCAATGACCATCTGGATGATCCAGAGGAGGAATGGGAGAAGGTCATGTGGTCTGATGAGACAAAAATATAGCTTTTTTGTCTAAACTCCATTCGCCGTATTTGGAGGAAGAAGAAGGATGAGTACAACCCCAAGAACACCATCCCAACCGTGAAGCATGGAGGTGGAAACATCATTCTTTGTGGATGCTTTTCTGCAAAGGGGACAGGACGACTGCACTGTATTGAGGGGAGGATGGATGGGGCCATGTATCGCGAGATCTCGGCCAACAACCTCCTTCCCTCAGTAAGAGCATTGAAGATGGGTCGTGGCTGGGTCTTCCAGCATGACAACGACCCGAAACACACAGCCAGGGCAACTAAGGAGTGGCTCCGTAAGAAGCATCTCAAGGTCCTGGAGTGGCCTAGCCAGTCTCCAGACCTGAACCCAATAGAAAATATTTGGAGGGAGCTGAAAGTCTGTATTGCCCAGCGACAGCCCCGAAACCTGAAGGATCTGGAGAAGGTCTGTATGGAGCAGTGGGCCAAAATCCCTGCTGCAGTGTGTGCAAACCTGGTCAAGACCTACAGAAAACGTATGATCTCTGTAATTGCAAACAAAGGTTTCTGTACCAAATATTAAGTTCTGCTTTTCTGATGTATCAAATACTTATGTCATGCAATAAAATGCAAATTAATTACTTAAAAATCATACAATGTGATTTTCTGGATTTTTGTTTTAGATTCCGTCTCTCACAGTTGAAGTGTACCTATGATAAAAATTACAGACCTCTACATGCTTTGTAAGTAGGAAAACCTGCAAAATCGGCAGTGTATCAAATACTTGTTCTCCCCACTGTATATATATAAAACTATATATGAATACATTTTTATTCATAATACATAAGTTATTCAAGTATAAATGACCAAAGTTACCATAGATTGCCATATATTACCTGTTAATTACTAAAGTTACAGAATATTCAGGTAACTTTGGTAAATTACCGGTAGCTTTGCAACCCTATTCCTTCTTGTTAGAAAGCTCATAAATGAGGTGGAAGTGGGTCTGTAACTATATAAAACAGTCTCTCCCAGGAATGAAGTGATGCACAGTCTGGGGAGGCTGACAGGTAGGCGGAGCTGAGCTTCCTCTCTCTCTCCAGACACCAGCTGGTTCCCTGTATTGGGGAGAATAACTGTTTCTGCCTGCCAGGAAAAATAGATCATATTGAGGCCTATTAATAGAATAGAAATAGATCTTACTGCTACTTAGCGTTATAAAACGTTTTAGATTATATTATGTTGCTAGCTGGGAAATGATCTATGGTTGTTAAAAGGGATGACTTGAGGAAAGAAAGAGAGCCTGCATGTTTGGAAAATAGAGTAAAAGCAAGGACAAGTGAAAATAAATATGTGAAGGGCCATGTAGTGAAGAGAGAAAGGATATAGAAGGCAAAAAGAGATGTCTTCTAGTTTCAGTATACAGCTGTTAGTTCACTACACTATGCTATTTGAAGTACAGCTTGCCAGTAATGTACTCTACCTTTGGGTTCATTACCTTGAGACCACACCCCTAAGAGTAAGAAAACCCTGTAACCTTATACACTTCGCTCTGATGCAATTACTTAACTCTTCCTCTCGACTCGTATGACCCGGGAATTCAGTGTCCTCTGCCAGTGTTGGTTAAGACTCTCCCTCAACGCCATCTGCCCAGGAGGCAGAGTTTTTCGATTACACTCAACACCCTTGGCTAATTGTGCTGTTCACTTCCCTGGATACCCTCCCTCCTTCCTACTGACACATCAACCATTATGTCTTATCTTTCTACTCATTTTTTTTTCTGACGCCAATGAACAGGAACACAAAACAACATGCCAATTCATCCGAGTGTGTAGCAGACGTATTTTCCAAAAAGCTTGGAAGCCCTTGAGGGGGTGTTTCTAGGGAAGGGGGTGGGTGAGAGGGGAAAGGGGCTGAGATTATGCAAATGGTACAAAGAGATAAACCCTGGCTTAATTTGATCAAAATGAGGTGATCATCTCTTCTTGCTTACTGCTTAGGAAAGAGATGGGGCTTCAGGGGGGTGTCTCTATGTCGTATGTGTGGGGCGGCTGAGGCGCTCCAGAGGAGACCATGTATGGCAGCAGTGGCATACTGCAGTTTCATTTTACATGTACTTTTTTGTCATTTAGCAGATGCTCTTATCCAGAGCGACTTACAATAGTGAGTGCATAAATTTTTTCGTAGTGGTCCCCCGTGGGAATTGAACCCACAACCCTGGCATTGCACGTGTCATGCTCTACCAACTGAGCCCCCCCTGCAAGATCAGAAACATTTGTAGTTTTATAGCTACTCTCATGCTGTTCTACATATTTTGCAATGAGGCTGAGAAAATTGTGGATTTTTTAAGATCATTACCTGCAATTCTACACATTGGCATGTGCAGTTTTTTTTGGCGGGCAACCATAGAGATCCTATAAAATTACTAGGGGCTATGTCATAAACCCTTGACGTTCCAGAATGGGGTGAAAATGACAGGCATATTGGTCAGGGAGAAATCCAAACTAGTCTAATTGGAATTAATGGCAGTAGAGGCATAATCCTGGTTTTCTTTCCATGCCAAAGGAAAATTAAACAAAGGCATGTGATATATCAGAAATTCTATAATAGAATAATTGTCAACCTAAAATATTGTCATATAATCATAAATACAGTTCTGTATGAATAGCCTCTAAAATATATGTAAACAGACCATAAATATCTCAATTTTTGTTTTCTTGGAAAGCTGAGAGTGCTATTATATGATACAATATCAGTACTTGTTGCATTTACAACTTGTCTAAGTCCTATCATCTACTGATTTCAGCCAGTGTATGGCTGTGGATTGTCTGCATTGTTTCAATGGAAAGTTGGCATATTGGTAGTTAATTTGAAACATTCATGAAATAATTCCTCTAAAACTGTCTGGATAGCTAGCTAACAAACATACAGTGCAGATAAATTCTTCAAATGTATTATTTTACACTATCTTATCACAGCACTAGCAAACCACGGTCGACCAACTCCCTGACCAAAATGGCTGACCTTTATCCCATCATAAGAAGGTGTGTGGTACACCAGTGTATGGTACAGCAGGGAGAGTGAGTGTGTTTGTGTTTATGTGTGTGTGTTTTTGCATGAGCGAGAGTTGGTGTGTGTGTGTGGTGGCAGGAAGAGGGCAGGTCCTCCTCTTACAGAGGATAATGAACTCCTCTGCACTGTATTATCCCCCACTGTCCTTTGTCTGGTGCTGCAGTGGCACAGGGAGGGAGCCCCAGGTTGATGGATGTCCTCTGGATCTCTCTGGCTCTCCCTGCCTCCAGGAGAGCGCCTCCACACTGCAGTGTCTGACTGTCTGGGCAACATGATGCAGGAGAGACCAGGGAGGGACACATGGAAATGAAGGAGAGATGGGTAGAGAAATGGAAGAGAGATGGAGGGTATTATGAAAAACAGATAGAGTAGCAGCCAGCCACCCCCCATCCTCTTTCTCATTTAGGTCACTAACAGTGCAAGTAGGGAAAGGATCCCAGACTGTTGAAGAAGGCTTCCGCATGCTTCGGTTCGGCTGGCGCCTTGCCAGCCGAACCGATAAGGCGAACCGAACGAGTATGCTCGCATATTCCCTTAAAAGACCTTTGCTTGAAAAACGAGAAAAAATAGTACTGTTTGTGCATCTTGAGACGGCGTAGCCAGTATACACTTCCTCAAAATAGTCCAAATTAATCTAAGATAACTCAAGAAATCTGTTATTCATTTGGACGTTTTTGCCGAGGAGATCTTAGTCGCACAATCCAACTAAGATGTTAATTGCAGTATTTCTCCCCAAAAATTTTTTTGCATGAAAACGAGTCGTCTTTTGTTGAATGACAACAAACACTTAATTGAAGAATCCCTACTGTTGACCAATCACCGACGAAGGGGCGTAGACCTTTTGTGTGCACGGAAAACCCCTTGCCAAAGACCAAAACGAATACAAACGTCACAAAATGTTGTCATAATATATACACAAACTGTTTTGGATGGGAAGCATGCGGACGCCTTTAGAGGAAGGCTTACATGATCCACTATTAGCCTGAGTTACCTGCCGCACCACCTTACAGGCTTCTAGATCTTACTGTACGGTACTGTACGAGTCAGAGAGCTGGAGCTCAGCCCAAGCTGACAGGCCACCCATGCAGAAGGCTTAGGCTTAGTGGGACTGGCTGACTCTTACGATCTGACCGTAGGAGAAATCAGGACCTGCTTACCTGGATGGAAGTGTTGAGTGTTGCCATTCACACTGTTGCTGGGCAGTATGCCCTACTGTATAGACTAGCTCACTTATAATAGTGAGATGTAGCAGGCAGTTTTCTGCTATCCTACTACTGAATCTTATAGATCTGATGAAAGAGATATAAATAAAATATTTCTAGGTGCTGTGAGTAAGCGGTGCACTCTAGGTAGATGCTGTCATAATACTCTTTGAAAAGCTGTCTCTGCTGTCTCTGCACTTTTATACAGGACAGCCACAGTTTCAGATGGAGGGTTCTCTCTCACACGTGCTAGCGTAATTTATTCACTTTCCATTGGAAAAACATCTGTAGAAATATACCTATAATACTGTACGTTGGATCTCATGACACAACATATCATGATTTCTAGCACCACATGTAGGAAGACTTCTAGTAGAAATTCAGATTAGTATTTCGGCTAGACATGAATATTATATTATAACAGCGTTTTGATGCTCAAAGAGCTCATTTTAGACTTAACTTATTCATTTGCTTAGCCAAAGTCATCAAAATTCCTTTATGCGTTCTCCAGGGATGAACATGCTACAGAAGGCTATGTAGCTATGATCATGTCTCAGTGACAGCACTGGCTGTGCCTTCTCTGTGTGCTGTTTGGAACAAATGCAGAGAATGTAATGAGTAGGTGGCAGGGTAACCTAACGGTTAAGAGTGTTGGACCAGCAACCGAAAGGTTGTTGATTCGAATCCCCGAGCAGACTGCGTGAAAAATCTGTCTGTGCCCTTGTGCGATGCACTTAACCCTAATTGCTCCTGTAAGTCACTCTGGATAAGAGCATCTACTAAAATGTAAATGTAGAGTGATCCATAATAAATACAAATCACTTTGTTTGAGTGGATGCAGACAGTACACTGTGATGTAACAATAGTGCCAATGTCCTAATATTAATTGTATATCGTTTCTACTCGTCTAGTTGTGGGTTAATTTAAATAGACCAACTAATTATGAGAGATCTTGCTGGTCACTGGATCCCCTGGTAGCACAGCTCTGCTGTTTGCCCTGTCCTCTGGTGTGTCATTGCTCCTCTGGTCCTCCTGTCCTCTGGTGTGTCATTGCTCCTCTGGTCCTCCTGTCCTCTGGTGTGTCATTGCTCCTCTGGTCCTCCTGTCCTCTGGTGTGTCATTGCTCCTCTGGTCCTCCTGTCCTCTGGTGTGTCATTGCTCCTCTGGTCCTCCTGTCCTCTGGTGTGTCATTGCTCCTCTGGTCCTCCTGTCCTCTGGTGTGTCATTGCTCCTCTGGTCCTCCTGTCCTCTGGTGTGTCATTGCTCCTCTGGTCCTCCTGTCCTCTGGTGTGTCATTGCTCCTCTGGTCCTCCTGTCCTCTGGTGTGTCATTGCTCCTCTGGTCCTCCTGTCCTCTGGTGTGTCATTGCTCCTCTGGTCCTCCTGTCCTCTGGTGTGTCATTGCTCCTCTGGTCCTCCTGTCCTCTGGTGTGTCATTGCTCCTCTGGTCCTCCTGTCCTCTGGTGTGTCATTGCTCCCCTCCTCTGGTGTCATGCTCCTGGTCCCCTGCCTGGTGTGTCATTGCTCCTCTGGTCCTCCTGTCCTCTGGTGTGTCATTGCTCCTCTGGTCCTCCTGTCCTCTGGTGTGTCATTGCTCCTCTGGTCCTCCTGTCCTCTGGTGTGTCATTGCTCCTCTGGTCCTCCTGTCCTCTGGTGTGTCATTGCTCCTCTGGTCCTCCTGTCCTCTGGTGTGTCATTGCTCCTCTGGTCCTCCTGTCCTCTGGTGTGTCATTGCTCCTCTGGTCCTCCTGTCCTCTGGTGTGTCATTGCTCCTCTGGTCCTCCTGTCCTCTGGTGTGTCATTGCTCCTCTGGTCCTCCTGTCCTCTGGTGTGTCATTGCTCCTCTGGTCCTCCTGTCCTCTGGTGTGTCATTGCTCCTCTGGTCCTCCTGTCCTCTGGTGTGTCATTGCTATTCTGGCACCTAGCTACTGTAGCTCTCATCACCAGCCTGATGAGTTTTCTCTCCCAGCTCTCGCTCCTGCAGATTCCATCTATCTTTCTCTGGTTCGCTTCCTCTCTCAGTGACAGGGATCATCAGTCTATCCACTGACTGTCCTGTCTCTTCTCTCTTCTCCTCCTCTCTTCTCCTTCTCCTCTCCTCTCCTCTCCTCTCCTCTCCTCTCCTCTCCTCTCCTCTCCTCTCCTCTCCTCTCCTCTCCTCTCCTCTCCTCTCCTCTCCTCTCCTCTCCTCTCCTCTCCTCTCCTCTCCTCTCCTCTCCTCAGCCTCTAAACGTTACGCTCGCTTCTCCTCTCCCCTTTAGGGTCATGTGGTGTGAATAGTTATACCTAATTTCCACCCCCTTTCATGTACTTAGTCTCTCTGTATATCAAATGTTTATCCCTGACTCTCTTAACTGGAGGGCAGTATAGGCGTCATCCTGTCACTGGTCTATAGAGAAGACCTATAGCTGGCCCTGGTGTGATGAAAACTCTGATCCACAGTGACAGGTCCCGTTACACCTCCTCCTACAGCACAGTACCAAAGGTCACAGTAGAACCACCCTGCTCTTACAGGTCACAGTAGAACCACCCTCCTCCTGCAGGTCACAGTAGATCCACCCTCCTCCTACAGAACACTACCTACAGGTCACAGTAGAACCACCCTGCTCTTACAGGTCACAGTAGAACCACCCTACTCCTACAGGTCACAGTAGAACCACCCTGCTCTTACAGGTCACAGTAGAACCACCCTCCTCCTACAGGTCACAGTAGAACCACCCTCCTCCTACAGGTCACAGTAGAACCACCCTGCTCTTACAGGTCACAGTAGAACCACCCTCCTCCTACAGGTCACAGTAGAACCACCCTCCTCCTACAGGTCACAGTAGAACCACCCTGCTCTTACAGGTCACAGTAGAACCACCCTCCTCCTACAGGTCACAGTAGATCCACCCTCCTCCTACAGGTCACAGTAGAACCACAGGTCTTCATGATCAGTGTTTTTAAAACTAGGACAAATTGGAGAGCATTACCACACCTAGGATCTAAGATAATTCCATCAGCTGATGTTAAGAACTTGATGCACCCACTAAGAGGACCATGTCATTGTCACCGTGTGTTGATGCAGGTGACCCTAGAGTGCAGGTAGTGGAGTGTGAGTGATGTAACAGGAAGTGCAGAGTATGAGTATGGACTAATGCTTCAGCTTTCTTCACATTGCTGTATTAAAGTATGGTGGAGGAGTACTCATGGAGTGATATGGCATTACAATATTGTATGTTCTGTATGTGTTTCAGCGAATGGGGGGGGGGGGGGGGGGGGGGGGAGCGAGTGATCACGTTGGGGTCCGTTTTTCTTTATTAGTCCGTTTTCTTGATTGCTATTCCATCACTGTCTGGCGTATCTCTGACAGAGCAGTCTCCTCCTGCTGTTTAATGATTGGGGGAGAGTTCAGTGCACAGGTCACCATGATTTGGATTAGGTTAATGGAGATGCTATAGCAATTACAGACAGAGTGGAAGCACACGTCACTGGCTCGTTTTAGAAACTTCTGGGAAAATAACTGCTAGCTTGCCAACACACTATCAGATTCAGTAGAGCTAGATTGTCCCGCTTGAGTATGAGGGTGTTTTTCTGTCCTCCTCAGAAGTTTATCTTGAATCCATGCATTTAGATCAGATGTAGTGGGGATGCATAGTTTACATGAAGATGTGTTTGTATTTTCTCCCTCACGAAAGTCTAGAATATGATCTGCCATTATGTGATATCTGAGCTGGTTATCCTACAGATTTTAACTCCACACCTCTTCTCCCAATAGTACTGATGTTTCACATTACATGGGTTCCTGTTGAAGCAAATATTTCCTCAGGGAGTGTTGATAAAAAAAATAAAAAAAAGTGAAATATTTCATATTCCATTCGGCATCCTCTCTTTCCTCTCACCCCCTCAGGTGAGAGCTACGTCTGTGCGTCCGAGAACATCTACAAGAAGGTTGACTACACAAAGAACGTCAACCCCAACTGGTCTGTGAACGTGAAGGCCTCGGCCAGCCAGAAGAACCTGCAGAGCCTGGCCAGCAAGCAGGCCAGCGAGGCCCGGGAGGGTAAGGAGTTTGTTCGGCCCAAGCTGGTGACGGTGATGCGGAGTGGCGTGAAGCCTAGGAAGGCCGTCCGCGTGCTGCTCAACAAAAAGACGGCGCACTCCTTCGAACAGGTGCTCACCGACATCACAGAGGCCATCAAGCTGGAGAGCGGCGTGGTCAAGAGGATCTACACACTGGACGGAAAGCAGGTAGGTCACACATTCACACACATTGGCACACCTCAACGCCCAGTTCACCTCCAGAATGCTAGTTGGACTCAGATAGAAGTCAGACTAAGGTCACATTCAGCTCTACTACCTCCAAGTTATTATACAAACATCTGAAACAAACATGAATCAAAAATATACATAAGAAGTCTCTTGTGTTTAGTTCTGTCACTGTTCAAATTGAGAGGCATCCTGACAATAACCTATACTATGGTTTGTTTTGTTGTCCCTATAAGGTAGTTTCTATTGAGACTCTAGGGAATATCCAAACTGGAATAAGAGGATAAAAGCTGGAATAAGTAAAGAGTATGTTTAAATACTGATGTGATTTCAAATCATTTAAAGAAGAGAATGAAGTCATGCTATGTCATCCCAAAGACGTTTCCTATTACCACAGTAAGGTCGAGCTCTAGATGCTGTGTAGAGAAACCAACCGCTCCACAGCAGCACCAGGATGTGAAGTTGAGTCCATGGGTCGGGGGCGACTCACTGACAAGATGCAACTCTCATCTGTTTGTTGAGACACACTCACACACCCACCCACCCACCCCTGACCTGACTAAGCAGCCCACCAGTTGGCTGAGGTGGGATACTTCATCAGAAATGTGGCAGAGGGCTCAGATCAAAGTGCAGCTTCTTCAGAGAGCTGGACTGACATCAGAAACTCCCACAGCGATCCATTGATCAGTCAGTCAGAAAGGAAGGCAGACAGACAGAAAGAGGGAGGCAGGAGATCGTCTCCCTTGCTGCCTTGGCTCCCAGGTCTCTACCAGACCTGCATGGACACATCCATATAGGCTAGTTACTGTTAATCAATATGTGAATAGACTCTGTTTCATCATGATCTTCATGACTCAGATGAGATAGAATAGACCGCTACATCCCAAACATGAAAAGAACATTGCCTATTACAAAGGGTTGTAATGCTCCATAATGTATATGAATATTTAAATGGACAATATCCAATGAATCTATTTACACTGCCAGGAGGCCACTCAAAGTGCAGCAATTAGCAGCTGTAAAGACAAATGGCCAGCTGTCCGTAGGCTCATAAAGCAGCTTTACAGGCTTTAGGTAGAATAGAGTAGTAGAAATGGAGGTAATGACAGTGTGAGGGCTCCTCTGAGAGTTTAAAGTGCCTCTACCTCAGCAGCAAGCCTCAGCCCTGGTCTGGCCTGGTCAGCCCGAGACACACAGAGGACACATCAGGAGGCACAAGCAACCCTGATGACCTGACATATAGAGAGAGGACTTCATTACACCCACGTCCTAAAGTGTGTTGGCAGTGGTAGAGCGGAATCTGATTTAAAAAGATAGCATTGTTGATTTCATATCCTTGCTGGGAGCAAAAGACAATTCTGCCCCGTCATAATGCATCGGACCCTGTTCATTAGATTGTCCTCTTCTCCTCTCCAGGCTGTCCAACACTACTCAGTGCTGCAAGAGGCCAGGCTAAATTAGGCTCCAGTACTATAGACCCAGTCCAGGCCTTGCCAGGCTGAGTGTTTCCAGCTGGTCCTCAGGCCCACCTCTTTGATATGGTTAAACTGACTGCTAATCCCCCATGTCTGGACCACTCTGATTGTATGAGTCATCAAACACGCATCTGGGGCCACGGTCGGCAGGCTAACTAAGGAAATCCCCCTCTCTCTCTCTCTCTCTCTCTCTCTCTCTCTCTCTGCCTTTGTGGAGAAGTCAGATCTCCTCTGCTTTTTTGTTCTCTCTTTCTTTTAGTTCTTCCTTATTCTTCCTGTTAATAACGCCCAGATCTTAGTCAGCAGGGTTTATCTGAGGGCAGAACTGCAGTGTGGAGATGGCAGGCTGATTTGACTTTAATTCCCCACCCTAGGGCCTCACTGTATGGCTGCCCCATGTCACTGTCTCATAGTACGCCCCTTGAGATTTCTGTCACTTTTAGCCTAGGCAGCGTTGTGTATTCTTTGAGGTATAAGGCCAGCTGTGGATCAATATGGATAGCAACATGCTGGACTTATGTCTGTGCGTGCGTATATGCATGTTTGTGTGTGTACACAATACTGTACAGGATTTATATTTACATTCAGTCTCACATGAAGTCTGATCAGCATATTTCACTGACCCAGTCTGGAGTGGAAAAACAGACCCAAACAGACCCGTGCCGGTTCGGATCCGAGAGACCCGCTCAGATCCGAGAGTAGAAAGAGAGCGCAAACGAAACCTCCGACCGGGCGCTGGCAGCGCCATCAATGAATTAGCGAAAGTGATCCACAGTTACGTGTCGTTAAATACTGCCTATAACAAATGGAAAATGTTTTGTGTAGGTGTGTGCCTACACAATATCCCCATAATGACAAAGTGAAAACTGGTTTTTATAAATGCACATTTATTAACAATAAAAACAGAAATATCTTATTTACATAAGTATTCAGACCCTTTGCTAGGAGACTCGAAATTGAGCTCAAGTGCATCCTGTTTCCATTGATCATCCTTGAGCTGTTTCTACAGCTTGATTGGAGTCCACCTGTGGTAAATTCTATTGATTGGACATGATTTGGAAAGGCAAAGTGCATCCTGTTTCCATTGATCATCCTTGAGCTGTTTCTACAGCTTGATTGGAGTCCACCTGTGGTAAATTCTATTGATTGGACATGATATGGTCCCACAGTTGACACTGCATGTCAGAGCAAAAACCAAGCCATGAGGTGGAAGGAATTGTCCGTAAAGCTCCGAGACAGGATTGTGTCGAAGCACAGATCTGGGGAAGGGTACCAAAAAATGTTTGCAGCATTGAAGGTCCCTAAGAACACAGTGGCCTCCATCATTCTTAAATGGAAGAAGTTTGGAACCACCAAGACTCTTCCTAGAGCTGGCCGCCCGGCGAAACTGAGCAATCGGGGGAGAAGGGCCTTGGTCAGGGAGGTGACCAAGAACCCGATGGTCACTCTGACAGGGCTCCAGAGTCCCTCTGTGGAGATGAGAGAACCTTCCAGAAGGACAACCATCTCTCCAGCACTCCACCAATCAGGCATTTATGGTAGAGTGGCCAGACAGAAGCCACTCCTCAGTAAAAGGCACATGACAGCCCACTTGGAGTTTGCCAAAAGGCACCTAAAGGATTCTCTGACCATGAGAAACAAGATTCTCTGGTCTGATGAAACCAAGATTGAACTCTTTGGCCTGAATGCCAAGCGTCACATCTGAAGGAAACCTGGCACCATCCCTACGGTACAGCATGGTGGTGGCAGCATCATGCTGTGGGGATGTTTTTCAGAGGCAGGGACTGGGAGACTAGTCAGGATCGAGGGAAAGATGAACAGAGCAAAGTACAGAGAGATCCTTGATGAAAACCTGCTCCAGAGCGCTCAGGACCTCAGGCTGGGGCAAAGGTTCACCTTCCAACAGGACAACGACCCTAAGCACACAGCCAAGACAAGGCAGGAGTGGCTTCGGGACAAGTCTCTGAATGTCCTTGAGTGGCCCAGCCAGAGCCCGGACTTGAACCCAATCGAACATCTCTGGAGAGACCTGAAAATAGCTGTGCAGCGACGCTCCCCATCCAACCAGACAGAGCTTGAGAGGATCTGCAGAGAAGAATGGGAGAAACTCCCCAAATACAGGTGTGTCAAGCTTGTAGCGTCATATACAAGAAGGCTCGAGGCTGTAATCGCTGCCAAAGGTTCTTCAACAAAGTACTGAGTAAAGGGTCTGAATACTAATAGTAAATGTAATATTTCAGTTTTTTATTTTTAATAAATTTGCAAACATTTCTAAAAACCTGTTTTTGCTTTGCCATTATGGGGTATTGTGTGTGTGTGTGTGCAGCTTGATGATAATTAAATTTTTTTAGAATAAGGCTGTAACGTAAAAAAAAATGTAAGGTCTGAATACTTTCCAAATGCACTGTATATAGACAATGAATAGCAATATAGTTTGAAACTTATTTAGAGCAAAAATGTTAACTAATAGGCCTAGGTCTATTCGAGGAGAGAAGCATTGCTCAATCCTCTTGCATGCTGAATGGCTTAAAAATAGGCTACTGTGTTGGCAATGAACTGGTGTGTGATGAGGTGTAAATGACAGAGTCAGGCGCAGGAGGTAAAACACCGAAATCCAGAGTTTATTCAGTGTGCATGAATAAAGCGCAGCAAGCGTCATAACGAAACTAGCACAAGGGAAAAATCCACCTTGGCTACATACAAGGAAATAGTAGCTCAACTGAGCTACTCACTCTCACAATGAACAATCACTTACAAAGGACAAGGGGGCAGAGGGAACACTTATACACAGACTAATGAGGGAATGAGTACTTGGTGTGTGTGTGACAAGACAAGGCAAATGGAGTGATGATAAATGGAGTGGTAGTGGCTAGTAAGCCGGTGACGACGAACGCCGAAACCTGCCCGAGCAAGGAGGAGGGGCAGCCTCGGCTGAATTCGTGACAGTACCCCCCCCCCCCCCCCCCCTTGATGCGCAGCTCCAGCAGCGCGCCGACACCGGCCTCGGGGACGGCCAGGAGGACGTGGCGCAGGGCGAGTCGGATGGCGATGATGGAATTACCTCAACAGAGAGGGATCGAGGATATCCCTCACCGGGACCCAGCACCGTTCCTCCGGACCGTACCCTTCCCACTCCACGAGGTACTGAAGGCCCCCCACCCGGCGCCTCGAATCCAGTATGGAACGGACAGAGTACGCCGGCGCCCCCTCAATGTCCAAAGGAGGTGGAGGGACCTCCCGCACCTCAGACTCCTGGAGCGGACCAGCCACCACTGGCCTGAGGAGAGACACATGAAACGAGGGGTTAATACGGTAATCAGGGGGGAGTAATAACCTATATGTGACCTCGTTGATTCTCCTCAGGACTTTGAACGGCCCTACAAACCGCGGGCTCAGCTTCCGGCAGGGCAGGCGGAGGGGCAGATTCTGGGTCGAGAGCCAGGCCCCGATCCCCCGGTACAAAGACGGGGGCCTCACTGCGGTGACGGTCAGCGTTGGCCTTCTGACGACGCACGGCGCGTTGGAGGTGAACATGGGCAGCGTTCCATGTCTCCTCCGCGCGCCGAAACCAGTCATCCACCGCAGGAGCTTCGGTCTGGCTCTGGTGCCACGGTGCCAGAACCGGTTGGTAACCTAAAACACCCTGAAATGGCGTTAGGTTCATAGAGGAGTGGTGGAGAGAGTTCTGGGCATATTCTGCCCATGGCAGGAACACCAACCACTCCCCCGGCCGGTCCTGGCAATAGGACCTCAGGAACCTCCCCCTGTGGTCCTCTGTAGCTCAGCTGGTAGAGCACGGCGCTTGTAACGCCAAGGTAGTGGGTTCGATCCCCGGGACCACCCATACACCAAAAAAAATAAAAATAATGAATGCACGCATGACTGTAAGTCGCTTTGGATAAAAGCGTCTGCTAAATGGCATATTATTATTTATTATTATTATATTTTCCCACATCCTGATTTACCTGTTCCACCTGCCCATTACTCTCAGGGTGGAACCCAGAGGTCAGGCTGACCGAGACTCCCAGACGTTCCATGAACGCCTTCCAGACTTTTGACGTGAACTGGGGATGTCGGTCAGACACTATATCCTCTGGTAGCCCGTAGTGCCGGAAGACGTGTGTAAACAGGGCCTCCGCAGTTTGCAGAGCCATGGGGAGACCGGGCAGAGGAAGGAGGCGGCAGGCCTTCGAAAAGCGGTCCACAACGACCAGGATGGTGGTGTTCCCTTGAGAGAGAGGCAGATCAGTTAAAAAATCAACACTCAAATGAGACCATGGTCGTTGTGGAACTGGTAAAGGTTTTAACTTACCCGCTGGGAGGTGCCTAGGTGCCTTACTCTGGGCGCACACTGAGCAGGAGGAAACATACACCCTCACGTCCTTAGCCAAGGTAGGCCATCAGTACTTTTCGGTCAGGCAGCGCAATGTACGACCGATACCTGGGTGACCAGAGGAGGGTGACGTGTGTGCCCAGTAGATCAGACGGTCACGGATAAGCGCAGGCACGTACTGCAGCCCAGCTGGACACTGTGGTGGAGATGGATCTGTGCGTAATGCCTGCGCTATATCCGCGTCCATCGCCCATACTACCGGCGCCACAATGCATGAGTCTGTCAGTATGGGGGTATTGTCTCTGGGCCTCTCCTCTGTATCATACAGCCAGGATAGTGCGTCTGCCTTCACGTTCTTCGTACCCGGAATGTATGACAGTGTGAAATCATACCGGGTGAAGAATAGGGCCCACCTGGCCTGGCGAGGGTTCAGCCTCCTTGCTGCCTGAATGTACTCCAGGTTACGGTGGTCCGTCCAGACGAGGAATGGGTGTTTCGCCCCCTCGAGCCAATGTCTCCACACGGTCAGTGCTCGGTCAACAGCCAACAGCTCCCGATCACCAACGCCGTAGTTCTGCTCCGCCGGGCTGAGCTTCTTTGAGAAGAAGGCACAGGGGCGGAGCTTGGGTGGCGTGCCCGAGTGTTGAGACAGGACTGCTCCCATCCCAACCTCGGACGCATCCACCTCCACTACGAACGGTAGTGATGGATCGGGGTGGGCAAGTACCGGGGCCGAGGTGGACAGTTCCCTCAGGTTACTGAAGGCCCTGTCAGCCTCAGCAGACCACCGGAGCCGGGACGGCCCACCCTTCAACAGAGATGTAATGGGAGCTGCGACCTTGCCAAAGCCCTGGATAAACCTCCGATAATAGTTGGCGAAGCCAAGGAAGCGCTGCACCTCCTTTACCGTGGTTGGAGTCGGCCAATTACGCACGGCTGCAATGCAGTCGCCCTCCATCTCCACACCTGTGGTAGAAATGCGGTATCCGAGGAAGGAGACGGACTGCTGGAAAAACATACACTTTTCTGCCTTAGCATAAAGGTCATTTTCCAACAGTCGGGCCAGTACTTTGTGAACCAGGGACACATGCTCGGCGCGCATAGTGGAATACACCAAGATGTCGTCGATGTAGACCACTACACCGCGACCAAGCATGTCCCGAAACACCTCGTTCACAAAGGACTGGAAGACTGAGGGAGCATTCATCAAACCAAAGGGCATCACCAGTTATTCATAATGCCCCGTGGTTGTGCTGAATGCTGTCTTCCACTCATCTCCCTCTCGGATACGCACCAGGTTGTACGCATTCCTGAGATCTAATTTAGTGAAGAAGCGCGCTCCATGCAATGACTCAACCACTGACGGAATGAGGGGGAGAGGATAACTAAATCTAATCGTCTCCTTGTTCAGTGGTCGATAGTCAATGCACGCGCGCAGACCGCCGTCTGTCTTCTTCTCAAAAAAGAAACTCGAGGAGACAGGTGAAGTGGAGGGACGTATGTACCCCTGGCGCAGGGACTCGGTGACTTATGTCTCCATAGCCTCCGTCTCTCTGCATGCGACAGGGAATACACATGACTCCTGGGAGGTACAGCGTCTACCCGAAGGTTTATTGCGCAATCCCCCGCCCGATGAGTAGTTGCTTTATTCTTTTTATGATTTAGTTGCTTTATTCTTGGAGAAAACTTGTGCCAGATCATGGTATTCGGGGGGAATGCGCACGGTGGAGGCACCGTCTGGACTTTCCACCCTGGTTGCACCAACGGAAACAGCCAGACACCTAACCTGACACTCTCGCGACCACCCTGTGAGAACCCTCTGTGGCCATGAGAAAGTGGGGTTGTGGAGTGCTAGCCACGGAATACCTAACACCACAAGGAAAGCAGGAGACTCAATGATGGAAAAAGTGACCTGCTCACAATGAGTCTCCTGTGTGATCATGGTGACTGGTACCGTGACATCCTTTGTCAACCCGGACCCTAATGGTCGACCATCAAGTGCTCTGATGGGGCGTGGAATGGATAGGGGAACTAATGAAATGCCCTGGCGGCGTGCAAAAGTTTTATCCATAAAGTTCCCAGCTGCGCCTGAATCTACTAGCGCCTTACACTTGGGAACTCTCATGTAATCAGGGAAGTATATGGGTATGGTACAGTGCACAGCAGAGGGCACTGAACAAGTGTGGGTGCTCAATACCTGGGGTGATGCGAGAGTGCCCTGCCGGCCGCCTCCTGACCCAAAAGAGCGCTGATGACAACGTGTGGTAGAATGTCCCTTCGTGCCATCCGATTGGCACTGGCGCTGTCGTCTTCCGCTCTCTCGGTGCGCGGTACCACCCAGCTCCACGAGCTCTGGATCCGCGTTGGTCGGGGCGGGAAAGGGCAGACCTCCTCCAGGACGTCCTCTGGTTGCCAGCAGGTTATCCGACGAATTGCCATGTCCACCAGTTCGGTAAAAGACAAACTGGTGTCATGGCAGGCTAGCTCCCGTCGGACGTCCTCCCGTAGAAGGCACCGGAACTGGTTGATCAGGGCCCGCTCGTTCCACCCGGATCCTGCTGCCAGAATCCAGAACTCCAGCACGAACTCCTGTCCTGTCCTCGTCCCCTGCCTCAAGTGGACCAGCTGCTCACCCGCCTCTCGACCCTCAGGTGGGTGATCAAAAACGCCCGAAATAGGCGGGCGAACTCACTGTAGTCCTCCAACGCGGCTCCTCCTTCTCTCCAAACCGCGTTGGCCCACTCCAGGGCTTTCCCCGAAAGGCAGGAAATGAGGACAGACACCTGCTCTCGATCTGATGGCGCCGGCCTGACACTGGAGCAGTACAGCTCCAGTTGGAGAAGGAATCCCTGACATAGATCCGGCATCCCATCGAACGCCCGTGGTCGAGATATCTGGATCCCTCCGGGTGCTGTGATGTAGGTGGCTGGATCCGGTTGGCCAGCTGGTCTCGACGGATCGGTTCCTCTTCTCTCCAGGCATTGAACGACCTGAAGAACCCGATCCATCGCTTCCCCCAAGCTGGCCAGCATAGTGGAATGTTCCTGGACCCTTGCCACTATTCCAGGCATGCGCTCCTCTCCTGCTGACTCCATAGGGGTGAGTGATTCTGTGATGAGGTGTGAATGACGGAGTCAGGCGCAGGAGGTAAAACACAGAAATCCAGAGTTTATTCAGTGTGCATGAATAAAGCGCAGCAAGCTTCAAAACGAAACTAGCACAAGGGAAAAATCCACCTTGGCTACATACAAGGAAAGAGTAGCTCAACCGAGCTACTCACTCTCACAATGAACAATCACTCACAAAGGACAAGGGGCCAGAGGGAACACTTATACACAGACTAATGAGGGAATGAGTACCAGGTGTGTGTGATTGACAAGACAAGACAAATGGAGTGATGATAAATGGAGCGATAGTGGCTAGTAAGCCGGTGACGACGAACGCCGAAACCTGCCCGAGCAAGGAGGAGGGGCAGCCTCGGCTGAATTCGTGACAGTGTGAGAAAGTTTGAATGGCGACGTGTAGCGTAGCTCTGGTGTGATGTGATCACATTGGCCAAATTGATACCTTGCTGCACTGATGCATTGCAAACGTAAAAAACAGGCAGAGAGAAATGTATTAATTAATCAATTCACACAACAAACTTGTTCCAAACAAATAATTGAGGGATTGTGGCAGGACAATATTTCGCAATTGGTGTGAACGGCATCATAAACGAGAAATGTGCTCGTATTTTTGTTTCTCAGAATTGTTCTGACGAAAATAACGTACTTGGTTAGAAAGGGCCTTTACCGAAAATAGGCCTTTTACAACATTAAATCATGACGGGAGCGTTTGATTCTTATTAAAGAGAGAGTCCAGACATGCTACTTTAGGGAACTTTCTGAATGGACATAGGCTATAGACTGAGAGAGAGAATCAGCGAACCAGCTTATGTCAGACACGAGCAAATATGTGTCCTTTCCTTAAAACGTATTAAAAAACCTAGGCCTACCTTAGGCTTTCTGAAAGTAGGCTATAAGATAATGAATTGACAAGGACAGTATGAAGGGGAGAGAGACAATCCATTAAAATAGAAACAAATACACGCAACATGTCCTAAGCCTATTTATCAGCGTTGGTTAGTCTATAAATGTAAGAAAATATTCCGTATCAAATCATACCATGCCAGGTTGGATAGGATTGGTGCATTGTCCATTTGACACAACATTAGCACATTATAGGCCTCAGAGCCAGAACAACCTTGTCGACTGATGTTGAATAATTAATGAATAGTCAGACCTTTTTTAAAAGAAGACCAATTTATTTATTTACTAGAAAGCATTGAAAATGTGCATTGTATAAAAGAAAGTCCACACAATTCTTTTTAAACTGAAGTGCCATAGCCTGTAGATAGGCTAGTGCTTCTACGCCCCCGGGCGGATAGCTGCTGGAGCATCAAACCACCGTTGGAAAGAGGAGATGTAGACAGTTTAAAAGACAGACTAAGTTAGCAAAATAATTGCTTATAATCATTAGTAAACACTCCTGCGATTAGGTAAAGTGTATCTACATGAAAATAAAGTTAATAAAATAAAATAAATGAATGTAGGCCTATTTAAACGATTTTGTTGGTTATTTTATTTTCATGGCGGTCTTCATCCCGTCAGCTACACTGTTATTCAAGTAATAATAATAATAATATGCCATTTAGCAGACGCTTTTATCCAAAGCGACTTACAGTCATGCGTGCATACATTTTTGTGTATGGGTGGTCCCGGGGATCGAACCCACTACCTTGGCGTTACAAGCGCCTTGCTCTACCAGCTGAGCTACAGAGGACCACCACATCCATACCTGCATGAGAAGTACAGTAATAATATGCCAAACCTCTTTAGCGTTTATACAAAATGGGGATGTTTTTCCTGAATGAGAGGCGGTGTCAGCTTAAAGGCACTAGACCTTCTTTTGGTTTGAATCTCAGATCTGTTGTCTCTCTCTCTGTCTCTCTCTTTCTATCTCTCTCTGGGTCTCTCTTCTCTCTTTTTCTATCTCTCTTGTCTCTCATGTATCTCTGTCTCTTTTTTATATCTCTCTGTCTTCTTTCTTTCTCTGTTCTTCTTTTCTAGTCTCTCTGTTCATTTCTTTCTTTCTTAATCTCTATCGTCCTCTCTGTCTCTCTTCGTCCTCTCTTTATCTTCTCTCTCTCTTCTGTCTCTATCTCTCTCTGTCTCATGCTCTCTTATCTTCTATATCTATCTACTCTTCTTTCTCTCTCTCTCTCCTCTCTCTTTCATCTCTAGTTCTACTTCTCTCATACTATCTCTCTGTCTCTCTTTTCTATCTCTCTTCTCATCTATCTCTCTCTCTTCTTCGTCTCTCTCTTGCTCTCTCTTCTATGCTCTTTCTCTCTTCTCTGTCCTCTCTTTCTATCTCTCTCTGTCTCTCTGTCTGTCTCTACTTTCTCTCTCTCTTCTCTCTCTCTCTCTCTCTCTCTGTCTCTCTTTCTCTCTCTCTCTTTATCTCTCTGTCTCTCTGTCTCTCTATCTCTCTCTGTCTCTCTCTTTCTATCTCTCTCTGTCTCTGTCTCTCTGTCTTTCTCTTCTCTCCTTTACTGCTAGGACTGTTGCTGCATGCTATGAATGTTTAAATAAGATGTATTTCACACACTGATTTTAATGCTGGCTGTATGATTGCATGTGCCATATGTACAATACAGTTTGATGTGATATGATTGTACATGTCATCTGTTATTATAATATTTTACATCAGTGAAACCCACACGTTTGCCTTTGGTCTGTGTGTTACCCAGTACGCTCTTAAACCCACATGGCTCTCAGATGCCATATTGTGTAGCACTAACAAACACACTCTAACCATGTGTTCACCAGCCTAATCAAAGTGTATTATAATATACAGTGTGTGTGTGTCTGTCTCAGAATGTGTCTCCAGTCCGGAGGTTCATTGTAATGCACAGACACGTAGGGTTCACCTCCGGTTCTGGAGTGATGAAACAGCGATGAGAGTAGTATTAGGGCTCTCTTTGTGTGCTGAAGCAGGCGAGGCAGGGTGGCTAAGCTAGCTGCAAACTGCAGGCGAGGCAGGGGTGGCTGCATACTGCAGGCGAGGCAGGGGTGGCTGCATACTGCAGGCGAGGCAGGGGTGGCTGCATACTGCAGGCGAGGCAGGGGTGGCTAGGCTAGCTGCATACTGCAGGCGAGGCAGGGGCGATGTGCTGCTGGTGATATGGTAGGGGGAGTCTTGATGCAGTGCCAGCCCCTCCCTGATCCTGCACCGTTCCTCCTCTTCCCATTCCACACACCGACAGCTGGTGTGACTGGTTGCTAGGTGACCACATCCGAAGCACAAAGAGAGCCCAGCTGGTGTGGACTGGTCTATCAGTCACCACATCCTCTGTGTGTGTGTGTTTCAATATCAGCTGCCATGTATGCAGTGCTTGACTTGGACTGAAATAGGTGTCAGTACTCATTTTGGGTGCAGGTACTGTTTATATTTAGCTGCACAATACTTTTGAGCTAATATTCTATAAGAGGAACAGGAGCTCAAGCAGTAGCTATACAATTTGAGGTGCTGGTACTCAGCTCCGGTGAGCTCCTGCCCAAGTCAAGTACTGCATGTACAGTGGGGAGAACAAGTATTTGATACACTGCCGATTTTGCAGGTTTTCCTGCATGTAGAGGTCTGTAATTTTTATCATATGTACACTTCAACTGTGAGAGACGGAATCTAAAACAAAAATCCAGAAAATCACATTGTATGATTTTTAAGTAATTAATTTGCATTTGATTGCATGACATAAGTATTTGATACATCAGAAAGGCAGAACTTAATATTTGGTACAGAAACCTTTGTTTGCAATTACAGAGATCATACGTTTCCTGTAGGTCTTGACCAGGTTTGCACACACTGCAGCAGGGATTTTGGCCCACTCCTCCATACCTTCTCCAGATCCTTCAGGTTTTGGGGCTGTCGCTGAGCAATACGAACTTTCAGCTCCCTCCAAAGATTTTCTATTGGGTTCAGGTCTGGAGACTGGCTAGGCCACTCCAGGACCTTGAGATGCTTCTTACGGAGCCACTCCTTAGTTGCCCTGGCTGTGTGTTTCGGGTTGTTGTCATGCTGGAAGACCCAGCCACGACCCATCTTCAATGCTCTTACTGAGGGAAGGAGGTTGTTGGCCAAGATCTCGCGATACATGGCCCCATCCATCCTCCCCTCAATACGGTGCAGTCTTCCTGTCCCCTTTGCAGAAAAGCATCCCCAAAGAATGATGTTTCCACCTCCATGCTTCCCGGTGGGGATGGTATTCTTGGGGTTGTACTCATCCTTCTTCTTCCTCCAAACACGGCGAGTGGAGTTTAGACCAAAAAGCTCTATTTTTGTCTCATCAGACCACATGACCTTCTCCCATTCCTCCTCTGGATCATCCAGATGGTCATTGGCAAACTTCAGACGGGCCTGGACATGCGCTAGCTTGAGCAGGGGGACCTTGTGTGCGCTGCAGGATTTTAATCCATGACGGCGTAGTGTGTTACTAATGGTTTTCTTTGAGACTGTGGTCCCAGCTCTCTTCAGGTCATTGACCAGGTCCTGCCGTGTAGTTCTGGGCTGATCCCTCACCTTCCTCATGATCATTGATGCCCCACGAGGTGAGATCTTGCATGGAGCCCCAGACCAAGGGTGATTGACCGTCATCTTGAACTTCTTCCATTTTCTAATAATTGCACCAACAGTTGTTGCCTTCTCACCAAGCTGCTTGCCTATTGTCCTGTAGCCCATCCCAGCCTTGTGCAGGTCTACAATTTTATCCCTGATGTCCTTACACAGCTTTCTGGTCTTGGCCATTGTGGAGAGGTTGGAGTCTGTTTGATTGAGTGTGTGGACAGGTGTCTTTTATACAGGTAACGAGTTCAAACAGGTGCAGTTAATACAGGTAATGAGTGGCGAACAGGAGGGCTTCTTAATGAAAAACTAACAGGTCTGTGAGAGCCGGAATTCTTACTGGTTGGTAGGTGATAAAATACTTATGTCATGCAATAAAATGCAAATTAATTACTTAAAAATCATACAATGTGATTTTCTGGATTTTTGTTTTAGATTACGTCTCTCACAGTTGAAGTGTACCTATGATAAAAATTACAGACCTCTACATGCTTTGTAAGTAGGAAAACCTGCAAAATCGGCAGTGTATCAAAGACTTGTTCTCCCCACTGTATGTACTGTATGTTCATTGTACACTGTCTGGGTACGTGTGTGTGTGCTTTGCATAAGCATTTGACAGTGTGTGTAAGAGCGAGCGGGAGAGTCAGATGCATGGGGCCAGCTAATTGCATGTTATAATATGGCAATTAGTCCTTGAATGCAGACTTCACCACTGTTTATTGCTATGTGAAGATATAGCACCCCCCCCCCCCCCCCCCCCCCCCCCCCCCACCCCCCACCAGCCGCCGCACCCCTCCTTCGCTGTCAGTGAGCAAATCGCCCCCATTTTCCCCTCAACAGCCTGCACATCCAGACCCAAGGAGAACAGTGGCGGGGTGATGGGGTACAGGATGCATTCTCCAGTTTAAAAGACAGAAAATTGGGATCTGTTTTATATTCACTGCAGGAGATAATTATTCCCTGTGTCTAAAAAGCTGGAGTGAATTCCTTCATTCGCCCTCAGCGTCTTTCCAGGGTACATTAGGGAGGAGAGACTTATTTTCCTGGCAGCCATTTTGTCCGTATTTCTTCCTAATAGCTGTGTTCATGGTTGGCTCATAACAGCAAGTTCTGGCAAATTGTCGATCAGATTCTTTGTGACTTACACCACAATCGTTTTCTAATATTTGCTGTATTGGGAGTAGCTCTCCAATCTTTCTTGAAATCATCTATTCATTAAAGGAAGTGATGAGTACACTGTATTATAGCCCTCTCGCTTTAGAATGTTCGTTATTGCATCAAGGTCCTGAGCTGAGCTTGTCCATATGTCTTGTAAACGAATTTCCTACAAAGAGGCTCTATAGATGCTAATTAGCACTCAATTCAATCTCATACATCCATGTTCCCTGCACAAGGTCATGCTGCAATTGTCTCAGCACAATAGACCCCCCCCATCCAGTTTGGCCAGTGAATCACAGTGGATATTCACAAAATAGGACATTGTACGATTTAGGTACGTATGCTTCATGTTTAAATGTTCCCAGTTTGAATACCTGAAAAACTGCCTTTCTCTGGATATTGCAGGGTTCTTTCTGTCTGCTCCTCCGATCAGGGGAGGGTTTGCATGGCATGCAGCGGAGGCGGTTGTCATGGCAATTTACTCCACAGTGATGGACTCCGTGTCTGTGACAATGGCTGTGCAGCAAAATACGCTGAGTATGCTCTTTACATTCTGTAACGGAACTAGCCGCAGAACTCTTAACCTCTCACCTACCCCCAACACACATTCACATTCACAATCATTCCTTCCTCCAACCCCGCCTCGCTGGTACAGGATTTGAGAGAGAGCGAGAGAGAGATGGATGAGCTGACCAAGGGGCATGGCTCAAATGATAAAGCATCCTGACTGAACAGACATTGCTGCAGGCATCCGGTGCTGCCCTCACCCCCCACCCCCATATCTAGCCCACATCAACAAGTGACCACAACCTGGGTGTATGAGCAGAATAAATCTAATAACACCAGAGCCACATCGCCAGCCTGGCTGTCTCCATGGAGATTTCATGGAGGCAGCAGTGTGTGCCTCGGAAGCATTTGGAGCCCATTAGTGACATCACAGCTGTGATGTGTGACCCTGGGGGCCTCTGGAACATCAGGCACCAGCTGGCCCCCATAACTCTGCAGATCTGACTGCCCGGCTGACTGCCCGGCTGACTGCCCGGCTGACTGCCCGGCTGACTGACTTCTGTTTTACTACTGCTGCCCTCAACACCGTTGAAGCACCAAGCATGGGCCAATCAGAGATCTGTAATAGGTACAGGATACACATGGTCTACACCGTCCAATGCAACAACAAAAATAAATAATAAAAAAGATAAGAACACGAACATAAAGTAAATAAAATAAGCATTTTAGCATCAGTATAATACAGGAAGGCACAATTTATAGTCCAATATTTACCCGTGTTTTTGGGAAGGGGGGATTGGGGGGCAAGTGTAGCTGGTGCTTAAGGAAGAAAGGTTAATGGTGATGACTGTTAAGACCATGTTTAATTATAGTGGTACTGACCAGTGGACAGATAGTAACGACAATGTAGTGATTTGAGCATGGTTGGTCTGTGTGGGTGTGGGGCAGGGCCAAAAGCCATGGTTGTGAAATACCAGACCCAAGAATGTTGTCATTACACATCCTAGTCTTCTTCCTTTTCCCCTGGTCTCCCTGGGTGGTCTGCACTCAACAGTTCTCTCCTGTCCCTGAGTCTGTGATGATTGTGACCACTCCTTACGACCTACATTATTTCTCCTTATATGGAAGAAAACAAGCTGGATATAAATCAGAACATCTCCTCTAGACTTTTTAATTGGATAGATAACAAGGCTAGAAATAAAGAATGCGAAGCGAGGCATTCTGCAAGACCAGACTCATGACCCAGTAAACCATCTGAAGGCATATCACTTTGTTTTGTCCCCCGCAAACAACTGTCATTATTTGAACAAAAATATTTTTTTCAGGGATTTCTTTGACTTGTGTGTATTTATTTTGAGTACTATGCTGGGAATGTTTCAGTGTCATTACAATCTCAACCTAAATAAATCCTGGCAGCCTCAGTCCTCTCTGGTCCCTCTCTGCCTGATGCTCTCTGCCTGATGCTTCCTGATACACAGGACCAACTAAATTACCAGAGTGCACAAGGAGAGAGGGATGGGATGGGGGAGGGAGGATGATATGCAGTCCTTGGTACTGACCCTGTTCCCAACCTCCCTAACACACTCTTCCAGGCTCTACCCTACTGCCACTCTGTACCTCTACATAGAGATAAGGATAGGAGTTCATTTGACCTCACCAGCAAGAGGCTCTTCAGTCAGAGAGAGAAGGTCCAATATCCACCTTGTCAGGGCGTGTGTAGGTGTGGTGTAGGAAATCAGATGCAGGACGCAGACGGTAGGTTCCAAAAGCTGTATTCCGACCCAAACACAGGCAACAGGGCAACAAAGCCCAACAGCTAAACTACGCCCAAGGCGTGTAGGCAAAATGCGCACAAACAGGTGCGACAAAATATGTAGTGCACGAAACAAGTGCAAACGAGCTCCAGCGCAGTGGAGAGAAATATGCTCAACCGAGCAAACACGACACTGACGAAAACAATCACACACAACACAAGACAAACACAACGAGAAACTTATAGGATACTAATCACGTAAAACAGAAACAGGTGTGACACAAACAGACAAAAGCAAACGAACATGAAAACATAAATCGGTGGCAGCTAGAATTCCGGAGACGACGAACGCCGAAGCCTGCCCGAACAAGGGAGAGAGGCAGCCTCGGCCGAAACCGTGACAGTACCCCCCCCTTGACGCGCGGCTCCAGACGCGCGCCGACTCCGGCCTTGGGGACGACCCGGAGGCCGCGGCGCAGGGCGCGTCGGATACCCCCGATGGAATTCCGTCAGGAGCGACGGGTCCAAGATGTCTCTCCTCGGCACCCAGCACCGCTCCTCCGGACCGTACCCCTCCCACTCCACTAGATACTGAAGACCCCCTCTCCGACGTCTAGAATCCAAGATGGATCTCACGGTGTACGCCGGTGCCCCCTCGATGTCCAACGGGGGCGGGGGGGTCTCCAAGATCTCATGTTCTTGGAGCGGGCCTGCTACCACCGGCCTGAGAAGGGACACATGGAACGAGGGGTTAATACATTTATACTCCACTGGCAACTGTAATCTATAACAAACCTCGTTCAACCTTCTCAGGACTTTAAATGGCCCTACAAACCGCCGACCCAGTTTCCGACAGGGCAGGCGGAGGGGCAGGTTTCTGGCAGAGAGCCAGACTCGATCTCCAGGTGCGTACACAGGCCCCTCACTGCGGTGTAGGTCGGCGCTCGTCTTCTGTCGACGTATGGCACGCTGCAGATGGACGTGTGCAGCGTTCCACGTCTCCTCCGAGCGCCGCACCCACTCATCCACAGCGGGGGCCTCGATCTGGCTCTCATGCCATGGTGCCAGAACCGGCTGGTACCCTAAAACACACTGAAAAGGGGTTAGTTGGGTGGAGGAGTGGCGAAGAGAGTTCTGTGCCATCTCAGCCCAGGGCACATATCTCGCCCACTCCTCCGGCCGGTCCCGGCAGTATGTTCTGAGAAACCTGCCCACATCCTGGTTTACGCGTTCCACCTGCCCATTACTCTCCGGGTGGTAACCCGAGGTGAGACTCACCGAGACCCCCAACCGCTCCATAAAAGCTCTCCAGACTCTGGAGGTGAATTGGGGACCCCGGTCAGCCACAATGTCCTCGGGCACCCCGTAGTGCCGGAACACATGAGTGAATAGTGCTTCGGCGGTTTGTAGGGCAGTAGGAAGACCCGGCATGGGGAGCAAACGACAGGCCTTAGAGAACCGATCCACAACGACCAGGAGTGTAGTATTCCCTTGAGAGAGGGGAAGGTCAGTTATAAAATCCACCGAGAGGTGGGACCATGGTCGTTGTGGAACGGGCAGGGGTAGTAACTTACCCCTAGGCAGATGTCTAGGCGCCTTACACTGGGCGCACACCGAGCAGGAGGAAACATAAACCCTCACATCCCTGGCCAACGTAGGCCACCAATATTTGGCACTAAGACAGTGCACTGTCCGGCCGATACCCGGATGTCCAGAGGAGGGTGACGTGTGAGCCCAATAGATCAATCGATCCCGACACTCGAGCGGAACATACTTCCGACCCTCCGGGCATTGTGGTGGACTAGGGTCGGTGCGTAATGCCCGCTCGAGCTCAGAATCGAGCTCCCACACCACCGGTGCCACTAGACACGACTCCGGCAGTATGGGAGTGGGCTCCACGGACCTCTCCTCCCCGTCATACCGCCGAGACAGTGCATCTGCCTTACCGTTTTGTGACCCAGGGATGTAGGTGATCTTAAAAGAGAAACGGGTCAAAAACATACTCCATCTAGCCTGTCGAGGGTTCAGCCTCCTCGCTGCCCGGATGTACTCCAGGTTACGGTGGTCCGTCAAAATGAGGAAAGGGTGTTGAGCCCCCTCAAGCCAGTGCCTCCACACCTTAAGGGCTTGGACCACAGCTAACAGCTCCCTGTCCCCTACGTCATAATTTCGCTCCGCCGGGCTGAGCTTCTTGGAATAGAAGGCAACGGGGCGGAGTTTAGGTGGCGCGCCTGACCGTTGGGACAGCACGGCGCCAATACCGGCTTCAGACGCGTCCACCTCTACCTGAAATGGTAAAGAGGGATCCGGATGCGCCAGCACCGGAGCCGAGGTGAACAGGTCCTTCAGCTTCTTAAAAGCCCTGTCCGCCTCGACTGACCACTGCAGACGCACCGGGCCCCCCTTTAAGAGAGACGTGATGGGAGCTGCCACCTGCCCAAAACCCCGGATAAACCTCCGGTAGTAATTCGCAAACCCCAAAAACTGCTGCACCTCTTTCACAGTGGTTGGTGTTTGCCAATTACTCACGGCTGACACTCGGTCTACCTCCATCTTCACCCCTGACGCAGACAACTGATACCCCAAGAAGGAAATCGACTCCTGGAAAAACAGACACTTCTCTGCCTTCACATACAGGTCGTGCTCCACCAGCCTCCGCAACACTCTGCGCACCAGGGCCACATGCTCGACACGGGTAGGTGAGTACACGAGGATGTCATCTATGTACACCACCACTCCCTGTCCCTGCATGTCCCTGAAGATCTCATCCACGAATGATTGGAAAACTGACGGAGCATTCATCAACCCGTATGGCATGACGAGATACTCGTAATGGCCCGAGGTGGTACTAAAGGCTGTTTTCCATTCATCATCCTTCCTGATGCGCACCAAGTTGTACGCGCTCCTGAGATCTAATTTCGTGAAGAAACGCGCCCCATGCAACGACTCAGTCATGGTCGCAATCAGCGGGAGTGGATAACTATACTTCACCGTAATCTGATTGAGACCACGGTAGTCGATGCACGGACGCAACCCCCCATCCTTCTTCTTCACGAAAAAGAAACTCGAGGACGCGGGGGAAGTGGACGGCCGTATGTATCCTTGTCTCAGTGATTCGTCTATGTAAACCTCCATAGCTTTCTTCTCCTCCTGAGACAGAGGATACACATGACTCCGTGGGAGCGCAGCTCCTGCCTGAAGGTCTATCGCACAATCCCCCTGCCTATGGGGTGGCAATCGCGTCGCCCTCGCCTTACTAAACGCGATAGCCAGATCCCCATACTCAGGTGGAATGTGCAATGCGGGCACCTGGTTTGGACTTTCCACCGAGGTAGCCCCTAAGGAAACGCCCAAACATCTACCCACACACTGAGTAGACCACTCCTTCAGAGCCCTCTCCTGCCACGAAATAACGGGGTTATGGGTACTTAACCAGGGCATGCCCAGCACCACCGGATACGCAGGAGAGTCAATCAGAAACAGTTGTATTATCTCCTGATGACTCCCCTGCGCACACATCCTAAGTGGCGCCGTGACCTCCCTGATTAAGCCCGTACCCAACGGACGACTATCTAGGGCGTGAACGGGAAAAGGAACTTCCACAGGGAGAAGGGGAAACCCTAACTCTAAACAAAACTTCTTATCAATGAAATTCCCAGCCGCGCCTGAATCTACCAGCGCCTTACACTGGGAATGAGGTGCCACCTGCGGAAAACACACAGGCATACAAAAATGGGCAACAGTGAGCTCTGGGTGACTGGGGCGCCTACTCACCTGGAGGGAATCCCCAGTGCGGGACCTGTCGTCATCTCCCCGAGGAGGCCATCCCCAGCACCTAGCCGCGGTGTGTCCTCCCCGACCACAGTTGGTGCAGTGGATGGACCCCCTACTCTGCCGACTCCTCCTACCTCTAGCGCCAGCGCCCCCGAGCTCCATAGGACACGGCTCGGGTGCGCTGGAGGATGGAATGGACGGACCCCCCTCAGGACGTCCGCGGGTAGCCAATAGGTTATCCAACCTAATTGACATGTCGACCAGCTGGTCGAAAGTGAGACTGGCGTCCCGACAGGCCAGCTCCCGACGGACGTCCTCTCTGAGGCTACATCGGTAGAGATCGATGAGGGCCCGATCATTCCACCCTGCATCTGCCGCTAGAGTACGGAATTCGAGTGCGAATTCCTGGGCACACCTCCTCCCCTGCCTAAGGAAGACCAGACGCTCCCCCGCCGCTTTCCCCTCCGGGGGATGGTCGAACACCGCCCTAAAGCGGCGGGAGAACTCGGTGTAGGTAATGGTCGTGGCGTCGATCTTCCTCCACTCCGCGTTGGCCCACTCCAACGCTTTACCGGCCAGGCAGGAGATTAGGGCGGACACGCTCTCATGCCCTGAAGGTGCCGGATGGACTGTGGCCAGGTACAGCTCGACCTGGAGCAAGAACCCCTGACACCCAGCCGCTGTCCCGTCGTAAGCCCTCGGGAGAGATAGACGGACTCCTCGATGTTCCGGTGCTGGAACGGGCGGGCTGGCCGATGGTGCTGGCTGGGCGGGCGGTGGTGGAGGCGAACCCCAGCCTCGGAGTGTGGAAATAACCTCCTGCAGGGCGTTCCCCATCTGCAGGAGTTGCTCCTGCTGATCCCGAACCTGGGCTTCCAGTCTTGTCTGGGCTGCTTCTGCTCCTGCTGATTCCATGGGGGGTGTGTGATTCTGTCAGGGCGTGTGTAGGTGTGGTGTAGGAAATCAGATGCAGGACGCAGACGGTAGGTTCCAAAAGCTGTATTCCGACCCAAACACAGGCAACAGGGCAACAAAGCCCAACAGCTAAACTACGCCCAAGGCGTGTAGGCAAAATGCGCACAAACAGGTGCGACAAAATATGTAGTGCACGAAACAAGTGCAAACGAGCTCCAGCGCAGTGGAGAGAAATATGCTCAACCGAGCAAACACGACACTGACGAAAACAATCACACACAACACAAGACAAACACAACGAGAAACTTATAGGATACTAATCACGTAAAACAGAAACAGGTGTGACACAAACAGACAAAAGCAAACGAACATGAAAACATAAATCGGTGGCAGCTAGAATTCCGGAGACGACGAACGCCGAAGCCTGCCCGAACAAGGGAGAGAGGCAGCCTCGGCCGAAACCGTGACACACCTCTAGGCTCCCTGAACAGTGATTACTGTGATTACTGTGATTAGTGTGTGTGTGCGCACCTTTATTTGTGTCAGCTGTCGTTGCAGTAATTAATAATCTAGTGTGTTACACCGAAGAAGGGCTCATATGTCTGAGAGGGCAGTTAAAGTGCTCTAAGTCCTAGTAAGTAGTGTGCTCTACTTAGGGTCCTTAGCCCAACTCTGCACACTGAGAGCAGGGGAGAAACCACCCAGAGAGCCAGCTGAAAAGCATGGTTACCACGGCACTAAACCCGCCACAGAGCTTGTGAGCCAACCTCCGGTGGCACTCACCATTGACATCACAGACCCAACAATACGTGAAGCCTGAATATGCTGATGAGCTGCATGCAGCTTTTGTCCCCCTGCCCTGTTTACTGTCTGTTTGCTGAATGACCCAGGCTTGTTGACCCAGGCTTGTTGACCCAAGCTTGTTGACCCAGGCTTGTTGACCCAGGCTTGTCGACCCAGGCTTGTCGACCCAGGCTTGTCGACCCAGGAATGTCGACCCAGGCTTGTCGACCCAGGAATGTCGACCCAGGCTTGTCGACCCAGGAATGTCGACCCAGGCATGTCGACCCAGGCTTGTCGACCCAGGCTTGTCGACCCAGGAATGTCAACCCAGGCTTGTCGACCCAGGAATGTCGACCCAGGCTTGTCGACCCAGGCTTGTCGACCCAGGAATGTCGACCCAGGCTTGTCGACCCAGGAATGTCGACCCAGGCTTGTCGACCCAGGAATGTCGACCCAGGAATGTCGACCCAGGCTTGTCGACCCAGGAATGTCGACCCAGGCTTGTTGACCCAGGAATGTCGACCCAGGCTTGTTGACCCAGGCTTGTCGACCCAGGCTCATTTCTCGCTTTCCTCATTCTGGTCGCCTTTCATCCAAAAGTCAACACTGCGTCCATTCGGAGCGTCGTTATTTTCTTCAGATTCTCCCGTCGTTTGAACCTCACTGAATTTAGCTCACCGCTAATGGGAATTTCAGAATTTGGCTTCTTATTTGCTGCAGATCCCCCTCCCTTACAGTACACATTGTCACAATGCACTGTCAACAGAGCTGCTGAACACTTTGATTTACCAAAGTTGTCTCAATATTTGTTGTCATTGTCTCATATGGAGACCTACTTCACCTTTTGTCATAGGTGAGTCATCCATTTTACAAAAGCTTCAGAAGATCCCATAGTGTATGAGACGACCATTAAGCCAGAGAATACAGTAGGTGTATTTACCTCTGATCTCAGAGTGACCTACAGCTCATTGTGTTTGTGTGTGCTCTACCTCCCACCTTGAATCTTTCACAAAGTCATGGTTTCAGCTTTGAAGGGTTCTCATAAAGTTTCAGAACAGTGACTAAGATAGAAACAGCATATTTTGTGATGTGAGCTGCACACCCACGATGCTGCCTCTAAATCCTGCTAATCCTTCTTTCCATGGGCCTGTCTTATCCTTAAACCCGCCAAACCAGCCTCTTCGCTTCCTCTTCTCTGTCTTCAAAGCGCCGGTCGCACCAAAATATCACAGGCCTACTCCCTACCTCCCGCAGGAAAACACACAAATGACTGCTGGGCTAGATAAGGGCATTTATTATTTTTAAATAGGTAATTTCAGTTGGCTGTTTGGAGGGTAATGGAACGGAGCGGTGGTTCTATGACGAGGCTCTGGAATCAAAGATTATGATTCTAATCCCTGTTGAGGTAAACATATCTGCCATTTTGAAAAGAGACGCCATCCTTTCATAGAATTTCCCCAAATATCCTTATATTGTGGCACTACTTGTACTGTAATATGAATATATTGGAACAAATGTTATTGTAAAAAGTGACATTATTGGGGAACATTCATGTTTGACTTTCAAAGAGTCTTTGGTAAAGTGTATCCATGATGCTGCTTTGCTGACACGCCTGATACCTTCCCAATCTCTCCGGGACCAAAAGGCTTGTTCAGTTATCAGAGAGCTGACTGTGGACTTTGAGGTATTTCAGAGGGTTTTTTACCCCAAAGATTGCTGATGTACACTAATATGAAATAATCTATTTTCCAATGCCCAGGCTGGATTAGGCTCTGACATTCAAACACATGTCTCAAAGCCACATGGCGTCAGAGGAGCCACAGTATGCAGTGTTATTGGCCACCAGTCCTTCACCTGCAGTTGTTCCTTGATCTATGTGCTGTATGGATAGAAATGGGACATGGAATCAGTGCCCAATCACTCACGTGTGCAATGCATGTTTATTGGCTCTGCAGCTTTATTGAAGATGTGTAGCAGGAACATTTCACTCATCTGTACAGGGCTGAGTGAGAGAGAGAGAGAGAGAGACAGAGACAGAGAGACTGAGTGAGTGTCTTGGCCATTATGACTACTCACATGGTATTTTCCTTTAAATTTGCAGCTCATATATTCCCAGAATAATCCCTGGCAAATAAATTACCAGCGGTATAATTAATTTGCTAACAAATCCCTTCCTTTCAATTAAAAGAACTGAAACAAACACGTTGATTATCAGCCTAGTGTGATTTAGGCTTGTTATAAAAATGTTGTAATCCATTCTTCTCAACATTACAGACCAGATGTCATTAAGGACGAAAGCACGTACAGTATTACCTTTCACACAATCAATAGGAAGAAGTAGCACAGTGCTTTATCAACTCTGCACTGAGGCAGTGGTGAGAGAAATGCAGTGTTTTTGGGAAGATAAAACGGTCCTGTTTAATGCATGCTTCAGAGCCCACACTATCGATCATGGGGAGGAGTCTGCAGAGGAAGGAATAGAGTTGGAGTTGCCCTCAGGTCAGGTAACGGTTCCTTCTGGATTCAGGCTCAGGACTTTATTCTCTCACTGTGCTGGCTCATAGTTTGGGTAATGGTGGTGGAGACAGCTTAAACATAAATACCTATTCTGTTGCATTTTCCTTACGGGTTTCACAAAGTATTTTATTTTCTAGTTTGTCATATCTTTCACATTTCTAATGCCATTCAGCCATTAACTCAGCATTGGGATTTTTAAAGAAAACCTAGCCATGTCTTCTCCACCTGTATGCCTGTCCTGCCCACTGCCCCCTTCTCCTCTCTAGGGGGACAATACTCTGCTCACCTTACCCCCACTTTCTCTATGTCTCTGAGAAAGCCTAGTGCGGCAGAAACTACTGCAGCATGCACTCTACTCTGCTACACCTCATTTTCCATGTTCCTAGGTCTTTAATATTCCACATGGCGCTTACTTTGTTTCACGATATCATAGCCTGTGTGTACGGAGGGAGATGATAGAGTGAATCTGAGATGTTGTTAAATTGCTCTGGGAAGAGCTGCCGAAATGATTTAGCATGGCTGCTTGGCTCTGTAGAAAGAAGATCCCTCGTTTGTCGCCCCTCGCCCCTCTCTTCTCCTGGAAAGTACAGCAGTGGTGAGAAGGCCTGCTGGCTGTTACTGTGCTGGCTCTACAACAACAGCTAGCAAAGCCCCACAGTCCCACATTCAGCCCCCGGCAGATCAATAGGTATCACAGGCTATCGATTGGCCTCGCCTGGCCATCCATGCTGACTGAAATACCCAAGACAACCCCAACAAAGTTCTCTCAAAGTTTACTGTTGTTCTTTTTGACTTAAGCTAAGCAATACTGTATGAGTTACATACATATTTGTATGATTGTTTAATAGTATGATAAATGTGAACGGGGAGCACTGGAGGCATATGAAACAGCTGCATCCTGTAATAGAAAGTAGACATGTATCTGACTGACTGTCACCAACTGATGTCTTTTTCTCAGATTAAATAGGAGCAGATCTCTGATAATGACTGTAATCACTGACGGTTTAGGCATTGATTCCAACTCAATTCTCTTTTGATTCCTTGTTAACAATAGTTGTGAGTCTCAAGTGTTGGTAAGATAAGTGAGATCCCTCCCATGTCCCAGACCTGTGCTCCTTCCTGATTACATTAGCCACCCATCTCAACCAAAATGCAGTAATTGCTGTGCTTTTGTTGTGCATGGAGATTAATTAACATGATTGCCCGGGGCAACAGTAGGGATGGCGTCAGTCCAGGAAGAGATGCAGAGAGAGAAGAGGTATCTCAAGGCTAATCATTTGTTCATTCATTCATTTCCGGCCAAAAGTGCTATGGGAATAAATGCATTCAAGACAAATGTGGCTGTTAAACACGGAGAGATGGTTCCAGAGTGGGGATTGGGGGAAATGCTTCCTGCTGCTTGTCATATTTGGCACAATAATCAAGGTCAGAGTCAAGGAACTGGTGTTCAGCCATAATTATCTGGCATGAAATCGTCTTGCTCTGTTCAGACAACTGAAGTCTTTGTTTCTCAGACAAAATGGTAAGCCAGTCGTAAGAAAGGTGGTTCGCTATGGATTGACGTGTATAGATATATTTTTATTGGAATTCAACTCTGTCTTTCAACAATGTGTAAATCGAAAGCCTAGGTGCATTTTTTATTTGAAACCAGCTCGCATTGGTGCTGACTTATAATTAATAGTCAAATTATGGACCTTTTTGTTTGCATTTTTTCTTTAAATACAGCGCCCATTTTCTGCTGTCAAACTGTGAAATATTACCCCTATCTGCTATCTGAAAAATTAGGGAGGGATATATTTTCTGTTATTCTTATTGGCTTGTATAACATGAATCATATCAACCTACAGTAATCCACACCATTCAACCTCGGAACAAGGATACACTAGCATGTATGTTTCATTCCTGCTATATGAGCTGGAGGTGATCTGAAGTGCCTTCTTTTAGCCGTGTCTCTAGAAACTTTTTCTCCAAGGTTGTGAAAATGATTTCCTTTAAAAGGCAAAGCGTCTGGGCCTAGGACTAGGTAATTTGGTCGTGTTACTCCACAATTTCTTTAGACTGGATATTGGAAGGAAAACAAATGTTTTCACTGCCTTTAGAGAGATGATAGAATTGTCCATAGGCTTGAGGGCACTCTCAATAGTTTTGCTGAGATGAAGGTGGTTTAGAGGAATACATTGACTTTATTACTCACTAATCCACTGCTATCAGATTGTAAAGCATCTGGGAGAATGAGCCATTGTTTGGAATTGTGTCAAGAAAAGAGCTTTGAATAATTCAGTTGGTGTAGTTGTGGGGTCCCTGCTTGGCTGCTGGTGCTGGTCGTAGTGGTGGTAGTTTGGGGGGCCATGTGGCCCTGACAGCTGGTAAAACAGGGATTAGGGGTGGGGGACACCTGGAGTCAGGGAGGGGCCAGGCTCTGAACAGGACACCCACTACTGCTGCTGTAGATCAGGGAGGTAGGGTGGCTGAAGACCCAGACACACATACTTTATATTGAGGGACTGTGACATTTCACATTTCAGCTGCAGGTATGCTGCCTACACAGATGTTTGCTTCAACATGTCTGGAAATACAAGACAGTTCTCAGAAAAGATGGTTAGTTTACAACAACAAAAAATTGATCTCTTGTAATGGACAGGTATATTATCTGATTAATGTGGTATTACGTTTCCTGACACAAGAACAAGCCAGTCGATCAGAATATATCATGAAGTACCAGTAATTGTACCAGTAATTGCTGTCTGTCTAGACAGAAAAATACTTTGAAGTCAGATTTTGCAGTTCATTTTTTTGCGTAGTTACATCACTTTGCCTTTGTAGGGCAGTACAGACATCTGCCTCTTGTAGCATCTGTCCCTAGAGGTGTAAAGATGATAGTGCGTTCATGCTTTTGTGTTATACCCTGACAGATTCTATCAGATTTGAATGTTGCCTCTAGTGTATGTTTTCCAGATTCCCAGACTCCCCTTGTATTTTCAAAAACACACA